TTTTTTTTTTTTTTTTTTAGTTCTTTCTTTTTTTTTTTTTTAATTATATCTTGTGTGGTTTCTCAGGTATACTTCTTTAAGGTGTGCTCATAACGTGTGGGTTTTCTTTTTTTTTTTTTACTGTTTTGGGGCTTCTCACCCAGCGTTTTGTTTCTTGAAGAGAACCTGGGTAAATACACACACACAAACATACATAAAATAGAAAAAAGGAAAATCTAACTAAAACGCCAGGAGGAAGGAAAAAAAAAAGAAAGAAAGAAAACAAAACCGCTTCAAAAGTTCCATTTGGAAACATCTTTGCAGATAATTAAAAGAACAACAACAAAAAGTAGTACTAGAAGAAATAAGTAGTAGTTGTACTAGTAATAGTAGTCGCACTAGTAGAAGCAGTAATAGTCTTAATAAGGAGGTGTGCTATATATATATATATATATATATATATATATAGGTAGTTGTTCGAAATGCGAGCGAATGATATCGTTAAGGGAAGGTACTCTACCTATCAGTTACAAGATCTTATTGGTAAAGGTGGAAATGCAGTAGTGCATAGTGCTATTGACCGAAGTACGGGTGCTATTGTTGCAGTTAAAAAAATGACAGCCCGTGATGATACTGTAATGTCGATGTGGAGAAAAGAAGTTGCTATTATAAGTTCCCTTGAACATCCGTATATTATTCGTTACATTGATCATACACGATCAGGAAAAGATTTCATTATTGTTACAGAATATGCACCTGGAGGATCTTTACTACAACAACTTAAACGAAATGGGCATTATGGTGAACGTGAAGTAGCACGTTTAATGTTTCAAATAACATCTGGTCTTGCATATATTCATGAAAAAAAAATCTTGCATAGGGATCTTAAGTGTGCTAATGTGCTTCTTGGGGCAGGTGATATTGTAAAACTTTCAGATTTTGGTTTGGCGATGCCACACGGATTTGTGCGTGGTGACGGGAATGATAGTAGTGGTGGTGAAGATGAACCTCAGAACGGTGCGGTTTCTCCTGCCGCGGCTGTTGAAGAAGAAGGTATGGTGGGTTCTGTCTATTGGATGGCACCTGAGACTATACGTGGGGAACCGCAGAATGAAAGTAGTGATATTTGGTCACTTGGTTGTCTTTGTATAGAACTCTTAACAGGAAATCCACCATTCTATGATCGTGCTCCGGTGAATGCACTCTATCATATTGCAGAATCGGATGAAGTTCCTATGCCAACAATAGAACTCTCGGAAGAGTGTAGAACTTTTCTTACGCATTGTCTTAATAGAGATCCAACAAAGCGAATGAACGCAGCGTCACTTTTGCGTTTACCATGGTTTGGTGGTTTTGTAGCGGAGAATATTCTCGAAACACTCGCTAATGCTCAGGCAGCAGATATTAGTGCAGATCAAGTTAGTAGCAATTCAACAGCGATTGCACGTTGGGTGGAGAGTAACTTATTTCATGAGAGGGCAGAACAACGTGAGCAATGGTTACGTGCTGGTTGTTTAAAAAAAGTTGTTGCGGTACTTCCAAAGGTAACAGCAGATGCATCCTTTCAAATTATTCGCAGTTTTGCCTTTGCTGCTCAGCGAGGACATATGGAACCAAGTTGTTTTCTCAGTCAACTTGGTGATACCGATTTATGGGATAATGAACGACTGGATGTTCTTGGAAAAGTGGATTCACTTTGTTCTCTTTTTGTCAGTTGTTGTGAACGGCAGGATCCGAGAGTAGCTCAGTATGCCCCAACACACCCTGGTGCACTTTGTTTTCTCTTACAGTGTACGGAAGGTAATATTGCCATACCTTGTATAGAAGCATTACGAAATCTTTTAGTTGGAGGAGATGAAGATGAAGGGACTTCTACTCAATCTGTCTCACAAGAAGTTCTTCCGATAGAAACTAGTAAAATTACCTACCGTCGTTTCATTTCTCAAAATCGTTTTGTTAGTGATAAAGCTTTTTATGCTGTACAACGCATAATTGAAGATGTCTGTTGTAAAGCCTTTCAAGAGGAGAAAGAACCTGCTATTGGTTGGTCTAATGTGGATAAATTATTTGAGATGCTTTTACAGGTATTTAAGAAAAATGGGAATGAATGTATTATTATGGGACCCTCTGCTGCTGCCTTACAAAATGCAGAGGGTGTAGACTCATCAACCACCATATCAGTTTCCGCTGGTGATACTGGAAGTGTAAGAGCGGAAGTAGGTGCTCGTACTGTTGGTGGTGGTAATAATAATAATAATAATAATAATAATAATAATAATAATACTAATGCAAATACTAGTACTAATTCTGTTGCTGTTGCTGGTGGTGTGGGTGTGGGTGGGGTTGGTAATAGTGGTGGTGTTGCTAACACATCTGTGGCATTAACTGGATCTACGTCTTTATGTACATCTACTGGTGCTGGTGGTGGTGGTGTTGGTGGCCCTGGTGGTGTGATGGGTATTAATACCAATAATAATACTACTACTGCTGCTACTAATAGTATAACTACCGCTACTTCTACTAGTAATGCTACCACGGTTGCTGCTGTTGCTGCTGCAGGTGCTGAGAATAGTGGTGTGCGTGTGAGCCTAGCTCACAGTGGTGTTAATAATAGTAATAGTAATAGTAGTGGTGTGAGTAGTACGAGACAGGGTGAGGAGCGTTGGTTGCTTGCCCTGCAGGAGGCGAGTCGTCATCTGTGCTCTAATGCGATTCTTCTCCTTCTGCAGTATATTGACTACGCCAGACGCCACGACCTCAAGTGTCTCAATCTCTGCGGTAAGAGCATCGCCGGTACATTTCTCATCGTTGCCTCTAATGCCGCCATTGACGCCACCACACGCATGGCCCTTCTGAAATGTCTGCCACTTCTCCAGCGGGCCTCGCAGCGGGCCGCGGGGTTTCTGCGCGACACCCGCTGCAGTGTCCCGCTGCTCGCCCACACGGCCCTCAACCTCCACGCCACCGCCGACGGCCGCGAGGACGATGTGCTCAAAGTCCTCCACACGATCTGCGAGGATGACGCCGTCGCCGCGGCCCTCGCCGCCAACAACGCCCTCGTCGCCGCCGTCGTGGAGCGGGCGGCAGTCGCGGCGGCGCGGCGGAAGTGGGCGGAAGTCATCGTGGCGCTGCGGCTGCTGGAGGTCCTCTTCGCCCACGCGAAGGAGCCGGGGAGAGTCGTCGAGTCCCGCGGGCTGCCGCAGTTGCTGCTGCGACTCGTCGAGGAGGAGAACTGCGGCGCCAATCTGAAGGCCGTCGCACAGCGGCTACTCAACGGTCTACAGACACAGACAAATGTACTCTAAAGAGAGAAGGAAAGAAAGATTAAAGGAGAGAATGAGAAGGATATGTGGAAAAGTAAGAATAACAATAACAACTGTGCACATATAAGGATAATGGAATGAAGTGTGGATCAAGAACGGAAGAGAAAAAAAAACAGAAAAAAAACATTTGGAAAGAATTAGAAAAAGAAAAAAAAAAAAACGATGCAACGGGCAGAGTTTTTTCTTTTTTTTTTCGTTTTGCTCTGATTTGTTTACTGCCCTTCTATTGTTGTAAATAAAACACTTGGTCTCCTTTCCTCACCTTCTTCCCCCTTTTCCGTCACAAAATTCTTACTCCTTTACTAAATTTGTCATTTTTTTTTTTTCTTTATTCTTCGTCTGTTATTGTGAATGGTAACGCTGATGAAAATACCATTTATGAATGCATACTAAATGATCGATGTCATCGTTTTTGCTTGACTACTACTATTATGACTGCTATTACTACTATTACCAGTACTACAACTAAATAATGATAATTACTATTGTTATTATTATTATTATTGTTATTATCATTATTATAGAAATCATCTTGTCCTGCATTTCTGGGAAGCTGAATACAACAGGACGTGACGCTAGAGGTGTGAGAACTATCACTTGGGGTACACATGAGAAAAAAGAGCGTCTCAAAACCACATTTTTTTTTTTTTTCCTTTTTTGCATCACCTTTTATTGATTCATGATTCGAGGTTATTTCCCCTTCTATTTATCTTCTTTTATGTACTCTTTATTTTTCTAGTCTCTTATACTGTGGAAGGTGGACAAATAAAAAAATAAAATAAAATTTACGAAGGATGGAAAAAAAATATCTGCATGTATACTTTTTTTTCTTTTTTTTTTTCTCTTTCTTTTTCATTCTTTTTAATTAAGTTTAAAAGGTGTGGTGAGGGGAGGAGGCCTCGCATGTTACGCTGTACGGGTCTATTGAACTCCATCACAGGAGCAGAAGCCACAACCGTCTCTTCATTATTACGGCGTTCACTATTGCTGCGGTGGCGGCTGCTCGCACTGCGGTGGGATAGTGACACGAATGTCTGCGTGTTGGCAGACGGAACTGCGGAGGGGCTTCCACGCGGAACACGACTAGAGATGTACGGTACAAAAGCAAAACTGATTAAACTCCATACTCTTGAAAAGGAGAAGTACAAACATGATGATAAGAAAAATTTATACAGTAGTAGTAGTACTTTCTCAGATGATGTGAAAATCATTACGGCGACCATAGAGAACATTCTCGCATCACTGGCGGAGGATGTGCGAGAAGTAAAGAGAATGACGATTTCGCCACCACAGTTAAATAATGGTGAAAGTGAAAATGATGTGCTCGCTGAGTGGTCTCTTAGCCCAGAAGGAAAAGCAAAAGAAAAACAACAACCAAAGGAACTGAAAGAAGAAAAGGAAAAAGATTATCTTCTTATGGAAAATGGGATTGTGTTTCCGACTCCAGAATCAACAGGTCTTCGGGTGTTACGTGTAGCTCGACAGGCCTTCGCACATTCATTAATAACTCAACTGCAGAGTCAACAGCAGAAACAACAACAACAAGAGGAACAAGAACTTCATCCAGAACATCAAAAAATACTACAAGAATTACAGGAAGTACAACCAAAATTATGCTCGAATGCTATTAACAACAACAACAACGATCCCCTCGCCATTCTTGATGTGAGTGAGTTCGATTGTACGTTTAGTCGTGTGGCGACACAGATCGCAGTGGAACGCGGTCTAGAACCTGAACAACAATTTCACGTTAGTTATGTTCCTCTTACTAATTCCGCAGCAGCAACGGCAACCGTGGATACAACTATTGCAAGTTTATTACGACTTGTGGCTCATCCACAGCGGGGTGCCCTCTCAGATCCACTACATGCCTTGCAATCTCGATACTTTACTCTTGGTTCCTACACTGTCAACTGGGGAAGTGGGAGAAGGAGGAATAGAAGAAGTGGTAGCAAAACTTACATGGAGAAAAAAGAGCCTATAGGAGTTCAACTTGCGAATGTTATGTCGAAGATGCACCGCGGTAGTACACTTATTGTTAATCTTGTTGGTGAGAAATATCAAGAAGAAGAAGAAGGACAACAAGGACAGCAACAGCAGGAAGAGGAACTGCAGCAACTTCGACAGGAAGCTAAAGCTCTCATCAGTGAAGCACTTTCACGGGGATCTCGTTGGGGTGTAATTATTGATGAAGTTTTACCTGCATGTGATTGCTATGACACTGCTGTGTCTTTTATTGTTTCACTCGATTAAGCCGAAGAAAAATGAGGTGCTTTTTATTCTTTTCTTTTTTTCTATTCTTATCCAATGTTGTTTGCTTTTTTATACATTTGAATATCCAATTTTTATTATTATTTGGATTACATAATATCTGTTTCTATCGATGAGGACGAAAAAAGAAGAAAAGAAAAAAAAAAAGGAAGGTGGAGTTGACATGTAGTTTGTATTGCCTTGGAATTCAATTTCTCTTTTCCCCCTTTTTTTTTCTTTCTTCTTTTTAATTATGAATCTATTTACTGTGCATATCAGTACCCCGGCGAGTGAGTTGGGAGTGATAATGCTGTCGAGTACCGCTGGATACACACACCGTTCGCGAGTGCTGGTCAAACGCCGTGATGAGACTTCTCTCCGCACGGTGTTGTGTCCTGCGATACGCCGCAGTAATTGCTGCCGCGCCCATCAACGTGAGGAACAGCTGCGGGCCGCATTAGCTGCCGAGCACGAACAGCAATTAATGCGCACCGCAACAGAGATGCACACACTGCAGTGTGAATTGCTGCCAGACGCCACACCCTCACTGGAGAGTATTCTCGCCGAGTTGCGGCGTACACCACCTTATGTGCATTGGAGTTTAGATGCGGCCGCAGCGGAGCGAATGGCGGAGTTGCGATTGCGGCACTGTCCGTATTCACATCAACGCGATATTCACGCCGTACTGCGCCAACAGAAGCGACTGGATGCAAAGACTATGAAAGAAGAAAAACAACAAAAACAGTTGAGTCAACGGAAAGAGGGATCTGCAATGGTAGAGACAAGACGACGGCGGGTGTTTAATGGCCTCACACCATTACAAAAATGTGTGGTGTGTTTACTCTGGCAACGTTCTTTCCATATTCCGCAGAAAGTTGTGTGTGATGTGCGGCGCCGCATGGAGGAAGATTTACTGGAGAATGAAGAGAGTGAAGTGGATGTGAATGCACGTGTAGAGGCTGAGGAACAGCAATTGGTGTCTGTTACTGTTTGTCGTCCAACACTTGGAGTGGTGGATTTATCATCCATTCCTCACATTGTGGCATACATCTCACAACACCCAGAGGAGTCTGTTATCTTGCCAGAGACGTTTGAACACTTTATCGGTGGTGATGGCACCAGTAATAGTAATAATAATAATAATAATAATAATAATAATAATAATAATAAAAAGAGTAGCCGTATCGGTAGTGTTGGAAACAGCATTATTCCAAGCGGCCTGACAGAGAAGCAGGTGGATATCAGCTCAACCGCCTGCGCACATGAGTTGGTCGAAGCTATTCTCTGGACACTGCAGGTAATAAATGAAGAGATGGTGCAAAAAAGAGAGAATACACCACATAATAAATTAGTCTTGCGTTCTCTGACGTTACGTCGATGTGACATCACATCTGCAGATGCGCTTATTGGTGCTCTTCGCAAACAACGACAGGAAACCACATTGCTGGCTCTTGACATCAGTGATAACAGACTCATGAATCTTCGTTTTCTCTTTGCTCTTCGTGCACACTTCTCTGAACGGCTGCTGCGTCTCTCACTTGAAGGAAATCCCATCACACGTAAGCCAGATTATCGTGAACAGGTGCGGAAGTCCCTTCCAAAACTCACAAGTCTCGATGGTAAAGCCATACGACGACCACCACTATCAATGCCATACCCGTCAACACTTTCTGACACTTTCCGTCTTGCCACTACAACTACAACTACAACTAGTAGTAGTAGTTGTAGTGGTAGTAACAATGATAATAGTGGTAATAGTAATGCAGTAGTCACACCAAACCGCCGGGTTCTTCGTGCTGAGGAATTGGATGCTGTTATGGATAACCTTGCAAGGTTTCTGTATATATGGGAAACACGCCGTGTGCCATGGACGGTGGCAGAAGTAGAAAAGCAATTACAACAACACAGACGTCTTTCATTAAAGCGACACAAAAATGAGGCAGGAACAAAAAGGAAAGAAGAAAAAGAAGAACAAGGAGATGAATTTATATTACCTCCAGAGGAGGAACTTGATGAGGATAACTTTCATCACCGTTATTTGCATCCCTCAGCTATGTTTACCATGACTTTACATGATCAACTTTCATTCTTTGATCCAGAGACTATGCGGCTTGCGACGGAAGTAGAATTTGACAAGAGTTACACTGGTATGCGACTATCCCCAGTTGATGTGCGAGATCTTCGTGTATTTGATGTGGCTATGAAAGGCAATAGTCGTAATTTGTTATTAGGACGATCTGTGTTGCATCGATTTGCACGTGGTTCACTAAACTGTTACACGGCGTATAAATATAGTATGTATCCTCAACAACTGCAGGTTTGTCATCATCTCGGTGGAGCAGTCATCTCTATATCGAAGATAACGGATACCGCAATAAAAGATACATCGACAAAGCCTGTGGTCTCTAAAGAACAAGAACAAGAACAACCGAAAAAGAAAAACAGAGAGAAAGAAAAAGAGAAACAAAAGCCAGGTAGTAAGAAGAATCGATTGGAAATGGAATCTTCTTCTTCTCCTTCTCCTTCTGGTGTTTTCTCCAGTAACACTTACGCACGTAAACCAACATTTTATATTGTAACTATGCATGGTGTGATGACATGGCGATCACCTAGTATGAAACGGGGTGAATGTATTATGGCAGCGTATGATCGTGTGGTGACATTTGTGGATAATGCCCTTCCACCCACAAGTGCGTTGGAACGCCGTCGTGGGGCACCTTTACTAGTCTTTAATGATCACATCTATCTCCGCCCCGCCTGTAGTGGTGATCGTGTTTGTTATCTCGCCCACTCACATGAACGAGTGGCACGATTGGTGGTTGAGTTTGGCCTTGAGGCCTGCGGTGTTGGCGGTGTTGGTCTTGTGCGGGCGGTTGCGGAGCGGGCGAGTAGTGATGCGGCCGCACACGCCACTCTGCGGCTGTTGGTGTTTGGCCCACACGCCGTGGATGCGGAGATCCGAGAAGCGTGTGAACAGCTCCTGCAACAAGGGCAAGAACAAGAAGAAAAGGAGGAGGAGGAAGAAGAACAAGAGCAAGAGGGATCGGAAGAGGAGAATGAGAATGAGAATGAGGATGATTGCACCAATAGTGCAGATAGACGTTATTTTGATATTCTTTCTCTCATTACGAGTGATTGTACGGCGATGGATCAGGAAGGCAATGAGGAGGATAATAACAAGAAAGATGATCTGGTGGAGTCCATTCCACACCGGGTGACGCTTGCTCAAGTGGATATGGCAGTGGCATTCATGAATAGCCGTTACACTGCCGCCTTTACCTCTAACCGTAAAAGAACAGATGGGAAAGAGGAAGAAGTGGAGAAGAAGAAGAAGAAAAAAAACAAAGTTTAAAGGATAATAAAAAACGTGTAAACATCACTGAAAGAAGAAATTAAAAAAAAAAAGGTGTATGAAAATAAACTTAATCCAAGATATATTGGAAAAAATGTTATCTTAACTTTGCTGAGGAAAAAGTATCCTTATACATATTTGTTTATTTTGATTCTCATGCTATTCTTTTATTTATTTTATTTTTCTTTCTTTTGATTCTTGATTCTTGTTATTATGATTCGTGTTTATATTCTCTGGTAGAAATATCGACTACGGCCGATGTGGAGATGCCGAATATTAGCAGATGTAGCCCGTGGTGTGCGTGACACGGCCACTCGTCCTAGTACATATCCCTACCAGCGCGGTGGCAGAGTGCATGCACGCACTACTAATAGTAACAACCATAAACTTAATAGCAACAACAACAATAATAATAATAATAACAAGAGATCATTTTGGTTGTTTCCCTTTTCGTGGAGTCCATCCAAAGCATTTGTATGGCTGAAGGCAAACGCGATGGCGCTTGCAACCTATCAATTCTTCCTTGAGGCAAGTTGCACTTCCTACTTTGCATGGTTGTTGCTGCATGGTGGGATGACGACAAGCGACATAGAGGCACGAATGCGCAATAGCAATAGTGGTACTGCATTACTCGCAGGTCTTGTAGACTGGAAGAGTGGGCAACATGCGGAGGGATACACTATTGCTGGTCACCATATAGACGCAGAAACACTCTCAGCATTTCACACAGGGCATAATATCGCTGCTGGACTGTTGCCACTGCAGTTAGTGCTGCTTGCCCTCACATATCCAGCGGTGAGACGAGTATGGATTAGGGCTAGTGGACCCCTCACAGCATCACTGCGGCAGATGAGAGATCGGAGCATAACGAATATCTTTGGAAATCGTTTCGCAGGTTACACCACTACATCTGCAGCTGCTGAAAATACTGCGGCGTGTAACCCTTTCGGCAAACAACAACGACGTCGCAAGTAAAATATCACAAACCAAGTAACGGAAGCTCTCTCTATTTAGTCATAGCGGGCAAGAAAAAAGAAAAGAAAAGAAGAGAAAAATCACATTGATTAGTTGTACGTACATCTACACATATTTACACAAACATATATACAAACACTTTCTCGCTCACTTAAAGAAAGAAAGAAAGAGAGCAACAACAACAAAAAAGAAACTTTATGTGTATTTTCGTACATATCTCCTTACATATTCTGGCATAATGCTATTTCGGGTTTTTCCCCCCCCCCCCTTTGTTTTTCTCTCTCTCTATTTTTTCTTTTTTTTGACAAAAACTACTTTAGGTGGATTTGTTTTTCTTCGCAAGTGGTGAGGTAACGCGAAACGGTCAAAAAAGCGCAAGTGTACCTTGCCACAGGTTAGCTCTTTAAAGAAAGAATAAAGGAATATCGTCACAAGAAAGGAAGAATAAATTGTAGGAAAACTAAGAGGCCAGACCAGTAGGCGAAAGAGAATTTATAGAAACATATATAATAGTCTAACTTCCTATGAAATCTTTGTACCTCCGTCCAGTAATGTTATTATTGCTATCCCTACTTGTATTACTCTTCACAAATTGTGGTGTAGATGCATGGAACTTCGGTGAAGTTATTCCGGTCACTATTGATCTGCGACTGCAGCGTGAGGCACCAAACCTCATGGTAGCACGTGACGACGTGGACGATGCGGAAGATATGGCGGATAACATAAATAACCAAAACGATAACGAGGGAATTCCCCCAGCAGGAATGGCAAGAGGAAAGGTTTACACTCGTCCCTTACCGCCTGAGTTTTGCCCACGGTTTGGAATCAATCGCCGCGTACATCATCCTGCACATTCAATGTTTGAATACGCACATAACACATCGCGTAGCCCAAAACAATCACTTCAAGATATCGCGGTGCGATTTCAACTAGAGAGAGGTCTTGGTAAGGCCACAGCATGGATTCCATTGTTACAACAGACACTACGACCATCACCATTTGCACGGCAACAACCAATACCAACAGATGCAGTACCTACATTGGCCGTAGTACACTTTTACTTTGGATATCAGGGTGGGACCTTCAACAAACTCACCACATTTCGCGTAGATATAGAATACTCAAAAACACCACACGATGACGTGGAACTTCACTACCACTGGGATGAACACCGTGCGTACAATCCACACAGAGCACTTAGTGCCTGTGCCTTTGTTTCCGTCATAGCCACAGTCGTGATCCTACACTTCGTTATCTTGCGCAATGGAAAATTCGCCCAAAGGATAAGAAAAGGGCAAATAATAGTACGCAACCACAAGGAATGAAATACGACAATGCATTTTCATATACGAGAGCGAGAAACACTATAGCAACGCAGCTACAAACACTATGAAAAAAAGAAAAAAAAAATCCGTTTTTTTTTTTTTTTTTTACTAAACTAGATAAAAACGAAACAAAAAAAAATGTACGAACAACAGCAACAACAACCACGCAATCATACCAGTAAAACCAATATGAAATCAAATCTCACCAAAATACCAACAGGTGAATCAAACAATATTATATATAAAAAAAAATACTACTCCAATTAACACATAAACATTTCTATATCAATGCCTTTCTCTCCTACTGTTTCTTTGTGTGTTGTGTGTTTCATAGAGTCTGTTTTTCGCGTAATTTTAAGCTAACACCATGGGGAAGGAAAAAGTACATATGAACCTTGTGGTCGTCGGCCACGTCGATGCCGGCAAGTCCACGGCCACTGGCCACCTCATTTACAAGTGCGGTGGTATTGACAAGCGTACGATTGAGAAGTTCGAGAAGGAGGCTGCTGAAATTGGCAAGGCATCCTTCAAGTACGCTTGGGTGCTCGACAAGCTGAAGGCAGAGCGTGAACGCGGTATCACGATCGATATTGCGCTCTGGAAGTTTGAGTCCCCCAAGTCTGTGTTCACGATCATTGACGCCCCCGGCCATCGTGATTTCATCAAGAATATGATTACAGGTACATCCCAGGCTGATGCGGCCATCCTGATCATTGCCTCTGCACAGGGTGAGTTCGAGGCTGGTATCTCGAAGGACGGTCAGACTCGCGAGCACGCCCTGCTTGCCTTCACACTTGGCGTGAAGCAGATGGTTGTGTGCTGCAACAAGATGGACGACAAGACAGTGAACTACGGCCAGGAGCGCTATGAGGAGATCGTGAAGGAGGTGTCAACCTACCTGAAGAAGGTCGGTTACAACGTGGAGAAGGTGCGCTTCATCCCCATCTCTGGATGGCAGGGCGACAACATGATCGAGAAGTCCGACAAGATGCCATGGTACAAGGGTCCCACGCTGCTGGAGGCCCTCGACATGCTCGAGCCCCCAGTGCGTCCCAGCGACAAGCCCCTGCGTCTGCCCCTGCAGGACGTGTACAAGATCGGTGGTATTGGTACGGTGCCCGTGGGCCGTGTAGAGACTGGTGTGATGAAGCCTGGTGATGTGGTGACATTCGCCCCCGCCAACGTGACCACCGAGGTGAAGTCTATTGAGATGCACCACGAGCAGCTGGCTGAGGCCACCCCCGGCGACAACGTTGGTTTCAACGTGAAGAACGTGTCTGTGAAGGACATCCGTCGTGGTAACGTGTGCGGTAACTCCAAGAACGACCCCCCGAAGGAGGCCGCTGACTTCACGGCGCAGGTGATCATCCTGAACCACCCTGGTCAGATCGGCAACGGCTATGCGCCCGTGCTGGATTGCCACACCTGCCACATTGCGTGCAAGTTCGCCGAGATCGAGTCCAAGATTGACCGCCGTTCTGGTAAGGAGCTGGAGAAGAACCCCAAGGCCATCAAGTCGGGTGATGCCGCTATCGTCCGCATGGTGCCCCAGAAGCCCATGTGCGTGGAGGTGTTCAACGACTACGCTCCTCTCGGCCGCTTCGCCGTGCGTGACATGCGTCAGACCGTCGCCGTCGGTATCATCAAGGCGGTGACAAAGAAGGACGGCAGCGGTGGCAAGGTCACCAAGGCCGCCGCGAAGGCATCCAAGAAGTAAAATGATCGGAATGCTCCTTTGCACACATGATCTTGTGTATACGTGTGTGTGTGTGTAGAAATATGTGTGCCGGCTGATAATAAAGGAAGCAGTAATAAAAGTGATATTGCAACCAATAAGAAATTAAGGAATAATGTTTTGAAGAAGAAAAGAGAAAAATATAGGTCTAACCTATTTTAAATTTTAGCGTGCCTGGAGGCACATGAGAGAGCAACCTGTTGTGTCGTCTCTCTCTCTTTCTCTCTGTGCTTTTTGTTTGCCTCCCGCCCCATGGCGCACCCTGTGATGCATGTACATGTCTCTACTGATGCTTCTCTTTCCCCTGTCTATGTTTCTTTGTGTGTTGTGTGTTTCACAGAGTCTGTTTTCCGCGTAATTTTAAGCTAATACCATGGGGAAGGAAAAAGTACATATGAACCTTGTGGTCGTCGGCCACGTCGATGCCGGCAAGTCCACGGCCACTGGCCACCTCATTTACAAGTGCGGTGGTATTGACAAGCGTACGATTGAGAAGTTCGAGAAGGAGGCTGCTGAAATTGGCAAGGCATCCTTCAAGTACGCTTGGGTGCTCGACAAGCTGAAGGCAGAGCGTGAACGCGGTATCACGATCGATATTGCGCTCTGGAAGTTTGAGTCCCCCAAGTCTGTGTTCACGATCATTGACGCCCCCGGCCATCGTGATTTCATCAAGAATATGATTACAGGTACATCCCAGGCTGATGCGGCCATCCTGATCATTGCCTCTGCACAGGGTGAGTTCGAGGCTGGTATCTCGAAGGACGGTCAGACTCGCGAGCACGCCCTGCTTGCCTTCACACTTGGCGTGAAGCAGATGGTTGTGTGCTGCAACAAGATGGACGACAAGACAGTGAACTACGGCCAGGAGCGCTATGAGGAGATCGTGAAGGAGGTGTCAACCTACCTGAAGAAGGTCGGTTACAACGTGGAGAAGGTGCGCTTCATCCCCATCTCTGGATGGCAGGGCGACAACATGATCGAGAAGTCCGACAAGATGCCATGGTACAAGGGTCCCACGCTGCTGGAGGCCCTCGACATGCTCGAGCCCCCAGTGCGTCCCAGCGACAAGCCCCTGCGTCTGCCCCTGCAGGACGTGTACAAGATCGGTGGTATTGGTACGGTGCCCGTGGGCCGTGTAGAGACTGGTGTGATGAAGCCTGGTGATGTGGTGACATTCGCCCCCGCCAACGTGACCACCGAGGTGAAGTCTATTGAGATGCACCACGAGCAGCTGGCTGAGGCCACCCCCGGCGACAACGTTGGTTTCAACGTGAAGAACGTGTCTGTGAAGGACATCCGTCGTGGTAACGTGTGCGGTAACTCCAAGAACGACCCCCCGAAGGAGGCTGCTGACTTCACGGCGCAGGTGATCATCCTGAACCACCCTGGCCAGATCGGCAACGGCTATGCGCCCGTCCTGGATTGCCACACCTGCCACATTGCGTGCAAGTTCGCCGAGATCGAGTCCAAGATTGACCGCCGTTCTGGTAAGGAGCTGGAGAAGAACCCCAAGGCCATCAAGTCGGGTGATGCCGCTATCGTCCGCATGGTGCCCCAGAAGCCCATGTGCGTGGAGGTGTTCAACGACTACGCTCCTCTCGGCCGCTTCGCCGTGCGTGACATGCGTCAGACCGTCGCCGTCGGTATCATCAAGGCGGTGACAAAGAAGGACGGCAGCGGTGGCAAGGTCACCAAGGCCGCCGCGAAGGCATCCAAGAAGTAAAATGATCGGAATGCTCCTTTGCACACATGATCTTGTGTATACGTGTGTGTGTGTGTAGAAATATGTGTGCCGGCTGATAATAAAGGAAGCAGTAATAAAAGTGATATTACAACCAATAAGAAATTAAGGAATAATGTTTTGAAGAAGAAAAAAGGACAATATAGGTCTAACCTATTTTAAATTTTAGCGTGCCTGGAGGCACATGAGAGGGCAACCTGTTGTGTCGTCTCTCTCTCTTTCTCTCTGTGCTTTTTGTTTGCCTCCCGCCCCATGGCGCACCCTGTGATGCATGTACATGTCTCTACTGATGCTTCTCTTTCCCCTGTCTATGTTTCTTTGTGTGTTGTGTGTTTCATAGAGTCTGTTTTTCGCGTAATTTTAAGCAATCATTATGAAAGAAGGAAAGGTATATGTGAATCTCGGTGTTGTTGGCCTTGAAACTTGTTCTTGTTTTGTTTTTTCAAGAGCACTTATTCTTTTACTTCTGTTGATTGGCTGTGTGGAGAGAAATCCAGGACCGGTTCAAAGTTCTGAGAATGCACCTGTTTGTCGTGCATTGAAAAAGTGTGATGGTGAAGTTGATATGTCTGTTGATAACTTTAATAAGATTTGTGATTCTGAATGTATGGATGCTGAATTGGTTGATTCTAGTGAGGACGAGTTTGATGATGATAATTGGCTTGAAGTGGATTTTGGAGAACTTTCTTTAACGGATAAGTTGGTGAACTCTAGTATGAAGAGCTGTGGTAACAGAAAAAGCTTATCACCCTTGTCTAGTAGAGGTAAGTCAATGGAAAGTGGACGTGTACTAGTTCCCACTGTGCAGTGTGGGCGGAAAAAGAGGCAAAATGTAAAGAAAAGAAATCATTCTGGTAGACAACCCTTTGTAAATAATGATATTTCTGCTTTACATCGTGCCTTGGTTCGACAGTTGTTACCTTGGCGTCCTGCTCAAAAACTATCAGAAGTTGTAAGAAACTACGCTGATATTGTTGTTTGCATGGAGTTTCTGGTAAAGGTTCACAAGAAGAGGTGTCGATTTTTAATGTTGGATTATTTATCCAAATATAGACGTAGATGTAAAGTTATTTCTTCTTCTTCTTCTTCATCGAATCCTGTTGACAAAACCTCTTCTTGTGATGTGCCGGGTGATAACAACGATGGAAGTTCGAGGAATAAACCGATGGAAGAAAAAGAATTCCGTTCTGGTATTCATACAACTACCGTGGAAAATACAATAAACCCAATGGAGAGTTCTGAAGGAGTGAATAAAAAGGGAATACTTTATTCTGAGGAAATTATTACAGATGTACCGCAGAATCCAAATGATGAAATGAAAAATCCTTTTCTGCTTCCTTGTAGTGTAGATTATTCTATACCTAAGGAAAATTTAAAAACTCCTAAATCTTGCAATTCATTTTGGATGGCAAGTCAAGGGCAATATTGTGTGAGCAGCCAACAGGAATTTTCTGCTGAAGAACATCCATTTTCTATACTTGGATCTCGCTCTGGTAAGAACTACTGTAAAGCGTACAGTGGTCTTTTATGAAGAATTTTGAATTTTATTTTACTATTTAGTTGAAGGAAATTATATACAGTGCGTATTGATGTATTCATTTGGGCTGTTAACAGATAGTTTTACTAGTGTTTTTCTTTTTTTTTTTTCTCGTTTGATAGGAATGATGAGAAGAATGATTCTTTAGACTATAAGGCACGGATACCCTTATACGTTAGGAAAACGTGATGGATCTCTTTATGACGTGACGATGTTTTTTTTTTTTTTTTTTTTTTCTTCAGTTAAGTATTCTCTTGATTCTAACATCTATTGCTTATATATAGCTCTGGATGTGATTTTTTTTTTTTTTTTAGTCTGCCTCTTATCATTTCTTTTTCTTTTTTCTTTTTTTTTTTCAGTATTTTCGACGCCTCTAATAATATTTGTGAAATAGAAGCGCGTTATGAAGTACAGATGTCTATTGGATTATCTTATTTTTCGCCAAGAAGGTTTGGTCTACACAGTAGTGAGACCCTGTTTATTTCGTAGATGTTTTCACTACGTATTCTATAAAGAGTTGTTGGGGTAGAAGAAGTATGGGGTTTACCCTGGGAAATGATTTGAATGGATGTTTATGATCATAATGATGGTATTTCTCCTGAGAAAAGATGTGTTTTTTTTTTTTTTTTTCTTTTTCTTTACAATGTGTTCGGTAGTTCTATTTTGGCATTTACAACCCTCAGGAACTGAGAAGTATACTCTCTTGTTGTTTTTCGAATAAGGGTTGACCGTTCCTCTAAAAGAGTTTTTATTATTATTTTCAATATTTTACGTTAGCGGATGGTATATATATATATACTAACAATTATACACCGTATAAATTTTTTTTCTTTTCTTCTTGGTGGTGGTGACTGATTTAAAAAAAAAGAAAAAAAAAGAATGGGTGTAGTTAGCGTGAGGAACGAAACAGTCAATTAAAAAGAAAAAGAAAAGAAATAAAAAAAAAAAATAACAGTTTAAAGCAAAGAATTAAAGGAAAGAATTATGTTCTTCTAGTCTATCTTCTTTGTTTTCTTTTGATCTCTATTGGTGGGGTATATTTACAAGTAAGGACAACAAGGGTTCTCTCTTTTTTTATTTTTGAATATATATATATATATATATATATATTTCTGTTTTCTTTTTTTTCTTCTGTTTGTAGGCATGGTATTTCAAAATGCCTTCAAATGTTTCTCTGCAGTTTACTTTGCGAGTTTTTCTCTCTGTGTGGAGTTGTGGTGAATTCATTCGAATACTAATGGCGCTTTGTTTCCTTCTCCCATAGTGTTTGTTTAAACTCCTGTGCAGAGATCAGAGAAATTCAGTTGACGATGATTTTTTTTTTTTTTTTGCTTCTTGTTGGGATGCTTGTTTACAGTGTGTGTCTCAACCACTGAGTGCGATTAGTTACATTTATTTCTCTTAATAGTTTTACAGTTTCTTCAACAGTTTTTTTTTTTTTTGTTTTTTTAATTAGTTATTGTTGTTTGTTCTTTTTTTTTCTTATAATCGCAATGAAAACATTTTTTTATTCTCCTTATTGCATTATTATTTGCAAGTAGTAGAAAAGGTTTTGTTTTCTGAAGTTTCACACCTTTACATATCTGTTTTTATTTATAAAGAGAAGTACTTTTTGAGAGAGTACTAAAAGGTGTTTGGGATATTATGTTTTTCAGTAAAAGTTGATATTCTTCTAGTTTTCTTGTTTTTCTTTCTATACAGTACTTGAGTCTTCTTATATACATTTCTGATATATATACATATATATATATATATATATATATAATATAGTATTCTCAGGGATGTGTTTATTATTATTATTATTATTATTATTATTATTATTATTATTATTATTATTTTGTTGTTTATGCAGTAGGGCTTTTGTTAGTCTACAATACAGTGATGGGGTATGTTTGTTTGTTTGTTTTTGAAGTCTACGTTGAAAACAATCTCCATCTGAAGAGAAGAAAAAAGAAAAAAAAACAAGAGAAGAAGAAGAAAAAAAAAAAAACAGTTTTCAATTGTATATCTTCCTTTTTTTTTCTTTTATTTGTTCTTTACAGAATATATATGTGTGTGTTTTTTTTTTTTTTTTTTTTTTGCTCTCTCTCGTTGAGTGCGTTACTTCTCCCTTTTTTTTTTTCTTCATATTTTCTCTCAGTGGACCCCTCCCTTCACTCCCTCCTCCTTTTATTACGTGTGGCTCTTGGACTACTCCCTCTATATATTCCCTTCTCTATCTATCTATATTTATTTATTTAATCTATTTATTTATCTATTTATTTATCTATATATCTATATATATTATGGAGATATGCTGGAGGGAGCGGCACCCAGCGGCGCGGCGGGGGAGTTGAGATCCCGCCAGCGACGCCGCCGGCAGCGACTGGCCGCCTCCCCGCAGAGCCGCCGGGCCCGCCTGCAGTACAGACGGCGGCACAACGAGCGGGACGGGCGGGTGTATTACTGCGACTACTGCGATCTCTTCGTCAGCAGCGCCGGGCGGAGTTGGACGGAACACCTGCGGGGCGTGCGGCACATGGAGAGTGTCGAGATGTACTACGCCATGCTGGAGAGGAGAGAGGCCGCCTGGTTGGACACCATTCGCGCGGATGTGCAGCAATCACACGTGGAATCCTATCTGCGGGAACATCAAAAGACGGCGGGGAGAGGCGCAGCGATGCCCATGCCGCCCACCACAACGGGATTTGTGGGGAATTGCGGTATTGTGGTGGGTGGGATACAACCAAGTGTGCATCTGCAGACGGCTATCCACAACAACAACAATACTACTACTATTGGTAGTAGTAGTGATAGTGGTAGTGTAATGATGATGATGAGTAGTGAGAGTGGGAATCATAGCGGTAGTGGTATGAATAATAATAATAATAAGAATAATAATAATAACAGTAGTAACAGTCCGAATAGTGTGTTGAATGGATCTCCATCGGTGCGTGTGGGGGGATTTCTTGTTTCTGAAGCTAAACCGCCATTGATTACGATAAACGGCAAGAGTGTTCCACCAATTCAACTAGAACAACATGTAGAGAGAAAGAACTAGGGGCAAAACAACAGAGGAAAGGAACATACACCAGGAAACTACTGTTATATATATTATTGTTATTATTTTTTTTCTCTTACTGTGTTACCTTTATCTTTATGTGGTGCTCTTTTTTTTTTATTTGTCTTTATCTGTCTTCGTGTGCAGCGATCTAGTGTTTCATTACTACCATGATAATCTTGATGTTGATGATTATTATTATTATTATTATTATTATTATTATTATTATTATTATTATTATTATTATTAATTTCCTTGTTCTCGACCCCTCCCGTCTGTTTTTTTTTTTTCTTTTCATCTCCTTTCTGCGGTGGGTGGGAAACCGAAATCAAGAAAAAAAACCTATCTCTCTATCTCTCTCTCTCTCTCTCTCTCTCTTTTTGTATATATTTAGATATATACAGTAGGAAAAGAATCAAAAAAAAAAAAAGAGTTGAATGAGTGCTGGGAGTACAGAACGCCGGCAGCGGATCCGCGCTCAACTGCGGGAGTTCTACGGAGATCCCGCCGGCGGTCGAGTGCCGTCCAATCCACACAACAGTCAAACCTCAAGTAATAACACCAGCGCTACTCGTGTGGCTGTTGGTGCTGCTGCCACTGCGGCGGCCCCGTCTGGTATTCCGCCCGAGATGGATCTCGACTCGGAGTTCTTTAACGTCAATCGCTACATCACGGATCTCCTCCGGCGTGAGAGTCTGAAGGGACTTGTGGAGACCGACACGCAACTCCTACGCTCCGTTCGTCATTTAGATGGAGAATTGCAGGAGTTGGTGTATCGCAATTATGCTAAATTTATTTCCGCCACAGATACTATACGTGAGATGCGGGATAATATTACAGAAATGGATGCCAAACTGCAGGCACTTTCAAGTAATGTGGAGAATATTGATCAAGTATCAAAGAATATTAGTGATAAGTTACAAGCTCATCGTAGTCGTATAGAAGATATGATATCTACTAACCGAATGCTAAGGAAAGTACAATTCCTTGTGGATCTTGCCGATACTATGCGAAGACTTATGGATAAAAAAGAGTATACGACCTGTGTAAAGTATTGGGTTATTGGTGAAACTTTTCTTGAAAAATATGAACATGTACCCAGTATAGCAAAGATTCATTCCGAGTGTAAACTAATTGCTCAACAATTGTATAATAATTTACATGATATGGTGTTTACAGCTTCATTAGATGATCCTGAGGCAATGGATGTTATTCGTGGAGTTGTAGAGAATATGCGTCTTATGCGAGCCACATCCCTTTTTCCTAAAGAAGAAATCATTAAAAAGAATATAAAAGGAGGAGTTGATGCTAGTAGTAGTAGTAGTGGAGGAGATGAAGGGAAAAATAAACTTTCACCTTTTGAAATAGATATTCTAAATACACTTATGAAGAATATAGGTACAAGTTTTGCTACAGGTGTTCAAGGAGTCAATAGTGCTATTAGGGCAGCTTTTGCAATTCCAAATTTTACTTCAATGGATATTACAGAAAGAGCTAAAGTATTACATGATGCTAATTTACGGGAAGCATTAGCAGAATTAAAGAGTATATGTGCTTTATTCTATTCTAACAGTGAACGTGTATATAGTTTATTTAATAATGAAAGTGATACAGTGGCATCCTTGCGTGTAATTGAAGAAGTTCAACCTGTCCTTATTGATATTATTACACTTATTACTAATCATTTAAGTGAACTTCTTATTGCTGTGATAGAATCCGTTGCTGAAGATGGTGAAAGTTCTATGCAAATACCATCATGTATTAAAAATGGTTATGAAGTTATCTTTTCAGCTCTCGCAAAACATCTAAAGTATTATTCTGGTACATTAAAGACACTTGGTGTGAATTATCTTGATAATGCCCATAGTAATCAAAGTCGTCAGTATGGGGTATTGGTAGATCAGTCTGTATTAGAAGTATTTCAACGTTTATTAACGGTATTAGATTCCAAAATGACAGAAGGAGTTATGATGAATTCCACGATTGTCAACTGTGATGTTGAAAAGAATGAAAATTACAAGCAATTACTTTACTTTGCCCTTACACGGTTTGCTTTCAGTAGTGCCGCTACTAGTATAGATACCATCGGTATCACGAATCTTATTAACACAGATACCCTTAAAACTGTAGATGTGGTTGGGATTCAAAAACACTCTGCACATATAGCCCGATCACTTGCCCATCGTGGTGTAGTGTTGTTGGGTCAATTACAATTGGAATGGATTGCCGCATCTTCTTGTCCGGCAAATGCGGTGGATCCCACATCTACGGCTGCAGAAAACTATGGAGTAGCACCTGTTCTCTGTAGTCTTATACAGCAATTAGGGAAAATCTACACAGTCCTACACGATGGGGTTCTTCTAGATACAAGTACGGCAAAGGAAAGACCTGTGAACAGTATGCGGGGTGGATCTCTGTTGTTAACCTCTACGGGTGGGAGTGGACGCAGTAGTGGAAGAGTAAGTTCAAGTAAATTAACGGTAAACTTCACTCGACAGAATGATCACACTTTACAGAGTAGTGTAGATCGAATATTTTTAAAACAATCTCAACATAGTGCTACATTACGAACTTCTCCACGTTTATTACGAGCCACTTCTGTGATGTCTGCGGTGGTGGTTTATATTCTTAAAGGTTTAGTAGAGTATGTGCGGCAACAGACCTTTACACGTCAGGGATTTCAAACTGTACAGATTAGTTGTACGTTTTTTCTCCACGTTCTCACACCAGCCTCAACAGCGGCATCATCATCATCCTTATCATCTACGAGTGCTATTAACAAAAGAGATTATTCCCCATCATCATTCTTAGGAGAGGATTGGATGAGTGAATGTGCAGAGGAGAATATATCCAAAACGGTATCGTATCTTCTTAATGAGTGTTGTACCTGCGCGTATGAACGATGCAAAGAAAAATCTCCGCTAACGTCTGTAGTAATTGATAGACTTGTCAAGTCTGCTCTAGACAAGATGAAGGAGAAGTCTACCGCTGCATAAAAAGAAAAGAAAAAAAGGAATCTCTGTATAGGCTTGTGTGTGTGTGTCTTTTTTTTTTTGTTGGTTAACCTTGCTTTTACATTTCCTTTTTTCTTTTTTTCTGTTTAGGAAAACTTTATGAACGTATGATATACCTCTGTTTATTATTTATTTATTTATTTATTTATTATTATTATTATTATTATTATTATTATTATTATTATTATTATTATTTATTATCTGTTGTTTGTGTTCTGTTGTGCCTGTATTTTCTCCTCTTCAACGCGTCTACTTTTGCTGTGATATCCACTACATATAAAACACAACGGGGTATCGAGAGGAAAAGAGGAAGAGAGGAAAAGCACCATAGTAGGGGATATATACATACACTAAAAGAAAAAGGAAACAAAGATAGAAACGGAAGAAGAGAAAGAAAAGAAGATAAAGACAAGAAGAAGAAATAAAGAAGAAGAAGTAAAAAGAAAAAAAAGAAAAGATGTTTCGCCGTACACAACACCGTGCCATCTCCCAATATAAATTTGGACAACCGTCTTTGACACAAGCCTTTGGCCCAATCCCACGTGAACGTCAAGAAGCCAAAATGGGAAAACTCACGACAACGAAACTCACAAATGGCGTCCGCGTGGTATCGCAGGACTTGGATGGCGCTCACAGTGTATTTGGTGTTTACGTGGATGCGGGGCCAAAGTATGATCCACTGGGTTGTCCTGGTTTAAGTCATGTGATGCGTTATGCTATTCAAACCTCCAATATGGACAGTTCACTCTTTCAGGTGGATCGCACAATGCGGGCGACGGGAACGGCTTATGGCCATGGTGAGATTAACAAACGGTATATTCACTGGAAGGCAGAGGGACGTCGGGATATGTGGGAAAAGCCATTTTCCATGATTGCTACTGGCGTGGTGGCTCCTCGTTTTCATGAAAGTGATGTGGAGCGTTTCCGTGATACGATGGATAATCAACGTGAGGAATTACGTTGGCAACATCCACGTGAATACTGTGTGGATGCATTGGAGACGGTGGCTTTCTTTAAAGAACCACTCGGTGCTCCTCGCATGGTCCCAGCCGCATCAAATGATCGTTGTAATCAAAAGGCACTTGTAGATCACTGGGCCACGTACTTTCATCCAAAGAACGTCACTGTGGCGGCTGTGAATATTCCACATGATGCTTTAATAGCCGCATATGAATCACTCCCATTTCCACACTCAGCAGAGGCACCACATCATGCGAAGTGTCAACCACCCAAATTCTCACACGCGAATGAATCTACACAATTCTATCCTGGAAAACAGGAAGTGGCCTTTGAGGATCGTGCCAAGGCAATGGGTACAGTTCCAGACATGGATGAAGAAGTGATTGCCGCTATTGGAGCCCCAACCTTTGGAGCTGAAGATAATGTGAAGAAGTACGCCACTGCACTTGTGGCCCGTGAAGTCTATCAATCGGCAATAGATCAGGCCATGCCACTCGCCTGTAGTGCCAGTTACGGTGTGCAGACCTTCTACCGCCCTTATGCCTCTACGGGTCTGATGGGCGTCACCCTGCGGGGAGCCCCAAAGGAGATCTCGACACTCTTAGAAACCGCAACAGGCTGTTTCCCAAAAAGTGTCTCCAGTGAGGCCGCAGCGGCTGGACGTGCACGTGCGAAGATGGCATTTGCACGCAGTCATCTTGATATGCTTCGTGACTACTGTGATTTTATTGCTACTTCCCCAGTGGAGGCCGCACAGGTGATGGAAGCTATTAATGGAGTCACGCAAAGTGAAGTGGAGGCGGCATTAACAGCGGCGAGCTCAGTGGCTCCCGCAGTGTTTGTTACGGGTTCTACATTTACATTTCCAAAGGTCGCTAGTCTTAAGAAGGTGAAGTAAAGAATGTTTTTTTTTTTTTTTTTTAGGAAAAAGAGAGAAAAGAACAGACATTATATATAACCTGTATTAAGGATTGGGTGGGATGTTGGGGTGGAGTAGGGGGGATGTGGAGTTGGTATATATATATTTATATATTTCTAGGATGGTGAGTATGATATTTGAATTTGTAAGCTAGATTAAGTGTATGAGTGAGTGAGAGTTGGGAGATTTCTATGAATTGAGGGGGAAAAAAGAACTGAAGTGGGTTAAATGGTGAATGAGTCTCTCTCTCTCTCTCTCTCTCTCTCTCTATTTTTCTCTTTGCGTATATATATATATGGGAAGAGAGGTGTAGTTAGGAAAAATGACAGACAACAGTGTTTGTGTGGGTTGTCATTGTTTGTCTGTCTGTCTGTCTGTGTGTGTGTGTATTTGTGTTGATTATGTGTGTTAATAGTGTGTGTTGTTTCTTCACATTGTGTGGATAATGGAGTTGTTGTTTTTTTTTTTTTTGGATTTCGTTTGTTTGTTTTGTTTTCCAGTTTGTTTTCTTCAACTGTTGCGTTTGGAGAAGAAACTGGAAAGGAATCACAATGATGAAGAATTTATTGGACACATCACACCAAACTGCCCCTTGTAGCAACAGCAAAAAAAAAAAGAAAAAAGAATGACAGAACTATTGAAGAGAATATTTTTTGTTTACATCTATCTCTACCTCTAAATATATATGTGTTGTTTTTCTATCTAATTATTCTTTTTTTTTTTCTTTTTCTTTCTTGGGTTAATATTGTTTGTGGGGGGATTAGGTAGTGTTAGTAAAGAAAGTAAGTAAAAGATCTCTAATGACGGCTCACTGTAGAGTAATACGTACGTGCAGTAGACATACTTTACTGTGTAAACCCAATATCTGTGGAGTGTTGGCAGTATGGGTAGTCCGCCGGGAATACTCTTCACAGAAGAATTACACTACTGATCACAATAATAATAATAATAATAATAATAATAATAATAATAATAATAATAATAATAGTAAAAAAGATAGCAAGAACTCTATAGATACTCTAAATGATAGATCCCATGGTGAGAGCGTAACTACTAGTGATGTGACTCTCCTCACATTAGAGGGACTCCATCGTTACCGTGATGTTTGCCTTGAACCTCTATTACAGCAGAAACGATCAGAACTGCAGAAACTAAAAACAAAAACAACAATGTGTGAGAAAGTTGCAGAGCGTTATGCAGATCGTTACATTTTATTCGTCTTTCTATTATTAACTGCACAAGCTATTATACTTTTTTATTGGGTGTATGTCTGTTTTGATTGGAATTTAGTGGAGCCCATCACCTATTTATTGGGTTACGCCGGTGTGTGGGTTGGTATTGCCTATTATGGGGCTATGCGGCGGGAACTCACTTATTTGACATTTCGTCAAATGTTAACAACGCGATGTTGTCGTCGACTGCTGCGTAAACAAAATGTAAATGTGAAATTGCAAGAGAAACTGCAGGCAGAAGTTCAACTCTTGTCAAGATGGTTACAAGGCCTTAAAGGTCTCTAAGGATATAAATTATTATTATATTTATTTCTTGCTTCTGTGTCTCTCTCTGTCTATATAATTAACGCGTATTTGTATTTTATATGTGTTTTTCCTTTTTCTCCTTCCTGTATCGTTATTGTAATATTTATTTATTTATTTATTCTTTTTCTCCCCTGATATCCCCTTGTGCACTCATTATATATATATATATATATATATATATATATATATATCTGTGTCCATTATTGCAAAGGGAAGAAGAGATATATGAATGTACTTTTTAGTATATATATATATATATCATTGTAATGATCTACTCTCTTTCTCTCTGTATAACTCGTATCAATCTATCTTTATTGGCGATTGTTATTTCTTCTCCTTTTCTTTTCCCTTCTCTTCTTTACATTCTCTATGTGTGTGTGTGTGTATATATATATTATTTCTCTAACTTATAAATACATAGAATCACTCTCATAACTAACAAAAGGAAGAAAGAAAGAAAGAAAGAGAAATAGAGAAGAATCAAACAAGAAAAAAAAAGAAAGAAGAAAAGAGAGAAATATCCAATGAGCGTAGAGGAGGAGTACCGTCTAACCGTCCAACTGCAGCGTAATGAATTGCAAATCCTCCAACGACGATGTAATGAACTCCTGCACGAGCGAAGTATGATGAAAGCCGCCACAGCAGAGGACGTTCGTATGTTTTGTCTGAACTATCAACAGCAACAACTCCAAAGGCAACAACAACAATATATTATTAATACCACTAATAATAATAATAATAATAATAATAATAATAATAATAATAATAATAATAATAGTATCACGACATCTATACAAGAAGGTGTAGCCGGCCGTCCCTCACTCGTTTCCTCCGCGGATTCTATTCCCATCACGGCCATTATGGAGTTTCTCCATCAGTACAGTTCCGGCATGGTCCCTCTCTCTCTCTGCAGCCGACGAAAGCGATCGCGGGAGACGATGGGCGGCGGGAGATTAACAAACGCACTCTCCCAGCAGCGATTAGTGCAGCGGGTGGTGGCCAGACAACGTCTGCGATTGCGGGAGGATGATTTAGAGGAAATGCAACAAGGGATAGAACTACAACAATCACAACAACAACAACAACAACAGGGACAAAACGCGTAGCGCGTTAATTCTGAACGAGGTAGTATTGATAGTAGTATTATTTATTATTATTATTATTATTATTAATATTATTATTATTTATTTAGTAGTTGGTTGTAGTGATATGAGTAGTATGAGTGGTAGTCCCTTCTATATATGGACATGTTGAAATATTTAACAGCGGCTAGAAAATACGATAGATGGTTAGAGATTAGGAATGAGGGAAAAGAAAAAAAAAAAAAAAAGTGGGGTTCTATATATAGTGTGGGTTGGTGAAGAGCAGAAAAAGAAGAAGACTGGGTTGGAAGATGGAACTGTATATCTTATCTACACACTAATGTTAACTATTTCGTTGTTTTTTTTTTTTTTTCTTGTTCTAGATTTCTTTCGTGGTTATAACTCAATCGTTCTTTCTATTCGTTTATTTTCCGTATGAGTATTTCCATTTTTTTGTTTTTTCTTTTTTTTTACACTTTTTTTTTTTACTTTTTTTCTTTTCCTATTCCTCCACCCCTCCTCCTTTATATGATATATATTTATATATGTATATGCATTAATTACTCTATCCTTTTTTTTTTTTTTTGCTGCGAATCTGCATATCATTGCTGGGTCTATATATATATATATATTCTATATCATTCTCTTTCTCTCTTTCATCTCATATATATATATCAGGGTGTGAGAGGAAAACACCTACTAGAAGAACAAAGAGAAATAAAGAAAGTAAATAAAAAAAAGAAAAGAAGGGTTCTATTTCTATTTTTTTCTTTCTCTTCATTTACATCATGTCAGCAGGTGGGGCTTGGGAGGTTGTAGTCGATAAGGCCGTGTTGGAAGTACTGAAGTATCTCACTTGCACAACTACACCTTTCCTGCAGGACTCACAAACCGCCCAGCGAATGCTCACATTGCTTGATAATAGTACCATGCGGGATCTTCTCGTGGAGCGTAATCACGGTGGGTTGTGTGGTATGTTAGGCTGTGGAGGTACACCACTGTATAGAGAGAAGAAAACAATAGAGGGAACAGGAGTCTCTAAAAGCAGCACTACAAATACAAATATGAATATAAACAACTTTAAAGGAAATGTGATGATGTATGATGATGGTGAGGAAAAGGAAGATGAAAATGATGATAGTGGGCCGAATAGTGAAGAAGATGATCCCGAAGTAACAGAGACATTTCGAAAGTATAAAAAGTATCGTGAACAACAAATGAATGTTAATGTTGGGAATAATAATAATAATAATAATCATAATCATAATACAATCATAAAAGAAGAGAAAATAACTCCTTTTCGTGGTGTGCAGTTTATAGATCGTTTCTGTACTCCTGACTGTGCTGTGCAGTTTAAAGAGTTGATGGATAATGTTCCCACATCGCTGGTGTATGAACGGGCGGAGGTGCTGGAGGCGATTGCGGCTTTATTTCCAAATATGAGTCTCGCCTCTCTTCAGCGACTGGCAGGGGCGGAATCTACAGTCGTCGCTAATATTCAAGAAAGAGAAAAGAAGTCTAACGGAAAAGAAAAAGAAAAAGAAGTTGAAGTATCTTCTTCTTCTCTTCAGAAGGATATTACTGTACAAAACAGGGAATCCGAAAAGATGCGAGAAGTGTTGGAAGGAATTCGGGGCGTGGAATGTGTGTGGGAGCGGTCCATGCGGGAATCCACACTTGTGAGTAGTAACAGCAATCATGGAAAGGAGTCGTTGCTTCCCATGTCGTTAATGGCATACGACTTCTTTCTCACCATTTCAACACCAAAAACAAAATCTCTATTCGCGAAATTATGCCGCAGAAATAATAATAATAATAATAATAATAATAATAATAATAATAATAATAATAATAATAATAATAATAATTGTAGTGATACTAATAGTTCCAATGGTGGGAATGTAAGGCAGGATGATAGGGTTTGTGTAAAGGGAGAAGGTAATCTCTATACACAGTGTATGCAGCCCATCCGTGAGAAGTGTCTAGAGAGAGTGGAACCGCAATGGATTGGAGAAAAGGAAGAAGAAGAAGAAACTATTCCTTGTGTAAATCCACTCCAGCAACAGGAGCGACTTTCTCTATTTGCCTCTCAAATCTTCTCTCATCCAACCACCGCAACACTATCACGATTACTCTTATATGATGAAGTAACACTTGTACGTCTGTGGAGTGTTTGGCAGAATGATGGACTTCTCACAACTCTGCGGTTTCCATTCGCACTGCCGAGTGCCATCACGGCTGGGAGTTCAACGGCGACGGGTGTTTTCTTCGCTCTTGTGATGGCCGCAGCGGCTGGTCTCTGCACACCGCAGGGATGGACGGAGTGGCAACAGCGAGATAATGCATTGGAGGAAGTCCTTCAGGCATTACATGTTACCGTGGAGGACTTTGTGGCCTGTGTGCGGGCACTCGTGTTGGATTAAGTATATACAATCGCATAATAATAATAATAATAAGAAGAAAAAGAAAAAATAAAAGAGTTATTTTTGTTTTTTCTTTCTTTCTTTCTTTGTATTTCTATTTACCGTTGATGGTGTCATTACTATGAGTAGAAAGAGAGGTGCTGGTAATACAAATGGTCGTGTTAATAACTATAATAGTAATAATTATTATTAGACTTTATGTGTATGTTATCTATCTATATTTCTTTTCTTCTTTCTTTCTTTCTTCTTATTGTTATTATTATTTCTCTGTGTTTTCAAGTGAACCAATTTCTTTTTTTTTTTTTTTTTGCGCAACTTCTACGTGTGCAGCACACCCGATATATTATATACACCCCATTACACGATAAAAGAAGGAAGAAAAGAAGAAAAAAAAAAAAAGGTAGAAATAACATTTAACAGAAAAAAAGAAAAACAAACAAACAAACAAAAAGAAAACAAACGAAAGCCACTCAGCAATGTTCCACAACAGTTATCAATCTGGCTTTCTCTCTATTCTCTACAGTATTGGCTCCCGCCCACTGCAGATATGGGATACGCAGGTCCGCAATGGCCATGTGAAGCGCATCACCGATGAAGATATTCAATCCTCCGTGCTGGAGGTGGTCGGCAGCAATGTGAGCACGTGCTACATCACCTGCCCGGCAGACCCAAAGAAGACACTTGGCATTAAACTCCCATTTCTCGTGATGATCATTAAAAACTTAAAGCGGTACTTCTCCTTTGAGGTGACCATTCTCGACGATAAGGGCATTCGCCGCCGCTTCCGGGCCTCCAACTATCAGAGCACCACCCGCGTGAAGCCCTTCACCTGCACAATGCCAATGCGATTGGATGAGGGATGGAATCAGATCCAATTTAATTTAGCCGACTTCACTCGACGGGCGTATGGGACGAATTATCTCGAGACTCTACGCGTGCAGTTGCATGCAAACTGCCGGGTGCGGCGATTGTACTTCAGCGATCGACTCTACTCAGAGGAGGAACTCCCACCAGAGTTTAAACTCTTTCTCCCCATCTCCCAACAACAACAACAGCAGCAGCAGGAGCAGATGCAGCAGCAACAGCAGCAGCAAATGCAACAACAGCAGAAACAACAAATGCAGCAACAACAACAAGTGGAGGAGACAACGGAACAGGGAGAATCGGAGGAGCCTAAACAACAACCACCGCCACAGCCCGTAGAGGCAGTATAGAGTTGTGTGTAATGAAGAAGGAGTCTTTATAGTCTATATATATATATATATAAGGACTATAGCTTCTTACTGTGTGTGTGTTTAGGTGTGTGTGTGTGTGTCTGTGTATGAGATAGAGAGAAAAAGAGAGAAATAAAGAATGTGTGAGAGAAAAGGGGGAGAGTAGTCTATGGTAAAGGAAGCATGAAATGACTGGCCTACCCTTTTTTTTTCTCTTAAATCACATTCAACTCTCTTGTTGTTATTTTTGCTTTTTTTTTTTTGTTTTTCGCCTTCTTCTTGTTTTTTTTGTTTTTTGTTTTTTTATATGATTCTGTTTTCTCTATTCTCTTGTTTTTTGTTTCCTTTTTCTTTTTATACCGCTATTATTTGATGATCAGCTCTTATCGTATAATACACCCAGACTTGTCTTTTTGTTATTCGTCATGTAATATCTCTATCTATACATCTTTCTGAGTATTAAGAAGAGAATAAATATATGAATGCAAGAGAGAAAATGTAAAGAAAGAAGAGAGAGTCTTCACGGCAGTAAAAAAGAAAAAAAAAACGAAAGGTTTATGAAGGCGATGGAAAGAAAGAAAGTGGGGTGTAAATATGAGAGAGAGAAAAAAGAAAAAGAAAAAAAGAAAAATTTAAAATAAGAATGACTCTCTGAAAAAGAGAGAGAGAGAGAGAGAAAGAAAGTATAGAGAAAAGTAAAAAAAGAAGAAGAAAGAGTCTTTATATCAAAGATAGACTCTCTCATCTATACAGAACAACAGAAAGAGGAAGAAAGAAAAAGAAAATAAATAGAAGAAAATAAAAAAAAAGAAAGAAAGAAGAACGAACGAACGAACGAAAAGAAAAAGAGAAAAAAATAATAAAAAAAAAAATAAAAAGAGATACAAGCGATGAAGAAACGACATGTAACGACTCAGTTGGTATACACAAACACAATGATTACTGAGGAAAAAAGAAAAAAGAAAAGAATAAAAAAAAAAAAAGGAAAGAATAAAAAAAAAAAACAAGAAAAAAAAAAGATAAAATTTTACACTTACACACACATACACGTATATGTACATGTGCACATACCGATAATCATATATACATACATACACTCAAACACGTACGAGTATTGTTGCTGCTGCTGATAATATATATATATATATACTACTGAACAAAATAATAATAAAAGAAAAAAAGGGAAAAAGGAACATAGATATAGAAAGAGAAGGAGAAGGTATTCAAGTGTTTATGTCCCTAATCTGTACATGTAGTAATTTGAAAAAGAAACCTCTGAATTCTTTTTTTTTTTTTTTGTTTGTTTATTTTTCTTTTTTCTTTTTTTTTTATTTTGAGTATTCTTCGAATATCATTATGTTTTGTTTTTTTCTTTATTTCAGCAACAACAACAACAAAAAGAAAGAAAAAAAAAAGAAAAACGTGGAGGTGTGCATGTATGCTATCTTAATGGTATGTATGTAATATATGTATGTATGTACGTATGTGTGGAAATAGAGTGAGAGATGGACCAGCTGCCTCTCTTCTTTGGTGATGTGTTGTGTGTTGTGGTGTTTCTTTTGGTTTTTTTTTTGTTTTGTTTTTTCTTGTTTTTTTTTTTTTTTTTTTTTTTTTTTTTTTTTTTTTTTTTTTGTTTGTTTATCTATGTATGAAGAGGAAATGAGAATTACTACCACCACTACACAGAATACAACCAACACATGGATTGGAATCTATACAATGAAAGACCTTTCTCTCTCTGTGTGTGTGTGTGTGTCTGTATCTGTGTGGATGGGTGGGTATGTATACATGTATGTGTGAATGATGGAAATAGAGACTACTACTGATATCAAATGAGATGGATTTGGTGAAGGGGTATACTTGATAAATAGGAGGTGATTCTTATTGTATGAATGTTCTATTATTATTATTTTTTTTTTTCCTTCTCTTCTCTTCTCTTCTCATATTTGTATATATATATATATTTATTTATTTCTTTAATCATCACGATAGCAGAGTAGACATAGATTCTAGTCGTAACAGCCGCACGGCCTAGCGGTGTTGTTACCCAGTTGAATATAGATAGATAGACCCCCCACACACACACAGATATATATACATATATATATATATATATATATATATAAACAGGGTTCATCCATACATAGAAAGAAGAAGGAAAAAGAAAAGAAAAAAATACACCTATATTTATCTATATTTATCTATATACATATATATATATGTCTATTCGTGCTGTGCCGCATCCCAGTGGGGTGCCTGTGCGGTTTGACAGTCGCTGGCATCAATACACCGCCGGTCAGCCGCCGACGGCCCTCCGGCCGGTCTCCCGCCTTCTCGACCGGCACTTCCCCTTCGACGAGCCGCGGGTGGTGGCCGCCGTCGCCCGCAAGTCGGGCCTCCCGCCGGCGGAGGTGCGGGCCGCGTGGACCCGGCAGGCGCTCTTGGGGAAAAACATCCACGAGTACATCGAGAACACCCTGCGGGGACTCCCACCACCCACATGGACACTCCTCCTGAAACGACAGCAGAAGCGGGAGGAGATGGAAAAGATAAACGGGAATAATAATAATAATAATAATAATAATAATAATAATAATAATAATAATAATAATAATATGAAGAGTAAGAGTAAGAAGACGAAGAAGAAGGGAAGTAAGAGTGAGGAGGATACAGAGACGGGGAAAAAGGGAGGGGGAACAGAAAAGTCTATTGAAGAAGCCATGTTGCATGGAGAAGAGGCGGCTTATATGGTAGTTGCCGATCGCGTTGTGGAGAAGATCATTAAACATTACGATATCATTGCCGTTGAACAGGTGATTGCAAGTCCATCATGGGGAATAGCGGGTACTGTAGACTTTATTGCTCGTAATAAACAAACACATAAACTTCTCATTGGTGATTGGAAAACAAGTGGAAGTGTAACGAGTGCTTTTCGCTTTGGTTCCTTTGAAACTCCCTGCACGGGATGTCTCTTACATCTCCCTAACAGTAAATTCTACCGTTACGCCATGCAAGTGATTATATACGGAGAAATACTTAAACATGAAAAGTATCTCATGAATGGCTTCTTTGGACATCAAGTGAAACCCGTTAGTAAAGCCCTTTCAGAGATTAACGTTAATCCACGTGATGTTCATGAGGCCCTAGAGTATGGTATTGTACAGTTATCAAAGAATGAAGAAGGGGAAGTGTGTGCAGAGTTTAAAAAGGTAACAGAGAACACTGTATTGCCAGTGGATGCGGGGGATTTGACATTCAGAGAACTGTTGAAAAATGTCATGACGGCTTAGAGTTTAACGCCTGCAAACACCAGAGGGGTTATTTTTTTTTTTTTTTTTCGTTTTTATACTTTTCTCTCTCTCTCTCTGTTTATGTTTTCTGAGGGTTAACAAGAAGAAGAAGAAGAAGAGGGAAGAAAAGGATATGCTCATTTCTTTTTTTTTTCTTTCCAGTTATTATGATTATTATTATTATTATTATTATTATTATTATTATTCTGGTTCTCATATCTCCCTCAGCTATGTCGAGAACTCTCCTTCTCTTTCTCTCTCCGTACAGGATATGAACAGAGTTATACAGCTATGCCACAGATATATATATATATATATAGACACTTTTTGGTTCCCCGTTTGCTGTATTGTATTTCAACACCAGAAAACACACAGTCCTTTAAGTAAATGATTTCTTTCCTTTTCTCTTCTTGTTTAACTGTGTTTCCCATCATTGTGGGATGGTGTGTGTGTGTGTGGCAGTTTATTATTATTATTATTTGTTGTTATTATTATTATTATTGGATCCATCTCTCTCTCTCTCTCTCTCTCTCTCTGTAGTTTGGCGGGGAGTGGTTTTAATTGTTGATGTATTTATTTCTTTATTTCTACTTTTCTTTCTCTGGAAAACTAGAATGCCGCAAAAACCATAAAGGAAAAAAGAAAAAAGAATTGGCAAATAAAAAGGTCCGTAAAGGAAAGAGAAAAAAAAATAAAAGAGACATTTGAAAGAGTCCAACAAAATACATAAAAAAGAAAAGCGAAAGGGAAAAGGCAGTGGTAATAAAAAAGTTATAGCAATATTTTAATGGGAACAACCACTTCAAAGAACTCTGTGAATCAACGGGGAAAAGCACAAACATGTATTAAACAAAAAACACGAGTTAATTCTGAAAAAACACGCACTAAATCACAAACTTCAACAAAAACATTATCTCCTCCTGCAGCTCGTGGACTACAGGAATCATCAGAAGAGAGGGAGAGAGGAAAGAAAAAGAGTGAATCTGTTACCACACATCCTATTACTCATAAAACAGAGAGGAGTGAACCCTTTGCGGTATTACGAAAAGGAGATCCTAATGAAGAAAATCTTTTCGGACCATTTAGTGTTAATAGTCATGATGATATCAATAGTAATACTATGAATAGTGATCCTAGGATAAATACCTTTGCTACTGCTAATTCTAATTCTAATAATAATACTAATACTACTATGACTGCTAGTAATACTATTGCCGCCCCACGATCACCGAATTCACCATCCCTGGCAGCAGCCCAGCCATCATCGCCTATACCAACATATATATCTCAACTACTACCAAATACACCATCTACACCTGTTCTGTTATCGTTTCGTATGCATTCATTCTCTTCAAGAGAAGGAGGTTTCTCACAGAATTCACCAGAGTCTAATATATCTATTTCTAGTACTGTACCTATTCATACACGTTTTTTAGAAATCAAAGGATATCCTGCTGTGTTGGAAAACTATGGAAACACCTGTTATTGTAATGCCGTCCTGCAGCTTTTCTACCACTGTACCCCACTAAGACTGCGGCTTCTTGAATTGCATGAAATTTTATCCCGGGGAAAAGTACTTGTCGGTCTGGATGAATCTTCTGTATTGAGGATCTTCACAGATATCATTGCAAAGATGCATAAGGCAAGTAATAGTAAAAAGTTACGTAAAGATATTATTTCACCAAAACCACTCCTTTCCTGTGTAAAAAGCCTCAACTCAACGTTTAATAATGATCTTCAACATGATGCCCATGAATTTGCTATTTTTATACTTAGTAGCATGATAGATGTGGAGACACATATGATGGAGAATGAGAAAAACCGAAAACTTTTCTTTGATTTAAAGAATAATAACAATAGTAGTAAAAATCTTAAATGGTCAGAAAAATGGCGATGGAGACGAAAAGAAAGTAATGTTAATACCCCAAACTCTTTTGATACTAGTGATTTTCAGAATGCAAATGTGGAACTTCCACTTGCATTGCGAGGAGGAGGAGGAGGAGCTGCTGGGGGGTTCAATACGAATAACATATCAACATTTGATTCTTTTAATGACTTGTGTGAACTGCGAGGGGCTACGCAAACAGCAGCGACCTCACCATCTTCTCCCTCTATAGCTGCTACTCCCTCTATTGCTTCTGCTCCTTCTGCTGCTGCTGCTGCTGCTATTCCTACTACTGTTGTTGATAAGAGTACATTATCACCATTGCAGGTGATATTTGGTGGTCAATTCGCCTCACTGATGGCATGTCTAGAGTGTGAGCGTGTAACGGTTCAACGTGAGCCTTTTGTAGATCTTAGTCTTGATATTGAGCAGGGCACATCACTGCAGCGATGTGTGGAGAACTTTGGTAAACCAGAACTCTTTTACGGTAACAATAAGTTGTATTGTAATCACTGTAAGAAGCAAGTAGTGGCACAAAAGATGATTCGTGTACATCGTCTGCCAGAGTTTGCTCTATTAGTACATTTAAAACGGTTTCAGTATGATGAGAAGACTGGTGGGATGAAGAAGAAGAATGTTCATGTCGCTCTTCCACGTGAAATTGATTTGGTGGAATATGAACCATATGAAGATGAAGATGATAATAATAATAATAATAATAATAATAATAATAATAATAATAACAGAGAACGTGCGGCTTCTAGTGGTAATGTAAGTGATAATAGTAGAAATATTATCGCTGCGGATGGAGTTAATAGTCGTGGTAATAGTATTAATAATAATCATCATCATCCTAATGATTATTATTATGATGTTGGGTTACCATCCAAGGGCCTTCCTACGTGGTCTCCGAGGGATCTGCATAGTAATTCCGCAGCGAAAGATAATAATATTACGCATAATGATATTAATGAGAAATATACCACAAACGGTCAAAACAACAAAAACAAAAACAAAAATAGTAATCATTATAATAATCATCATCGTCATCCTCATCATCATGGTGAGGAACGGAACGAAGAAAAGAATAACACGCATATACACGTGGATACGGAAACTGGTATACCGCAGCCATCTGCACGTTTACTACAAAAGTTAAATGGAATGGAACAACGAAAAGGACGGTTTGTGCTCAGTGGCTTCGTTACGCACACCGGCGAGGGGCCAAATCTCGGGCATTACTTCACATGTGTGCGGCACGGATCCCAATGGCGGCGCTTTGATGATGTGACGGTGTATGAACTCTCCGAGAATGAAGTGCAGGAGTATTGGGGTGTGCCCATTCCAGTGAGTGGGGTGATTACTTCCACATCCTACATATTATTATATGAACGTGTTGCATGAGCCAATTTTATTATTATTATTATTATTATTATTATTATTATTATTTTGATTACTGTTCTTTTTTTTTTCTCTCTCTTTTGATTCCAATACTTTGCGTGGTTGTCTCTCTTTCTACAGGAAACAGCACGAGGGGAATGCGAATAGTGCGAGAACTTGTGTAGAAAAGGATATTTAGGGTAGTGGTACCCGTATGATGGGAAAAAGACAGAAAAAAAACAGGCAAGAGAGAAAAAAAGAAATGAAAGACATGAGATGAAAGAAGAACGTTAAAATAAGCGAAAAAAAAAAAAAAAACGGGTCGGATGAGTAGAAAAATATATATATGATGTTGCTTTTTATACGATTACTTTGTCTTTTTTATTATTATTTTTATTGTCATTTGTTTTTTGGGGGAGAGAGAGTGGTGGAAAGAGTAGATATACACTTGTATGTCTCCCATATATGATTTTTACGAGATCTTTATTGAATTGGAGTAATGCAGTTATTTATTTATTTTTTTCCCCCTGTCTGTAGTCTCTTTGCGTTTACTACAGTTCCATTGTGATATACTTTCTGTATTCTCTTTCATTGAGTTGATCTCCCTCTTTCTTTATTTATTTATCAATCTCTCTCTCTGTATGTACGTATGTATATATCTGTGATTAGGTGTGTTTAGGTGTTTTTGCCTAAATGAGTGTACGCTTCCATTAAGACCCTCCTTTTTGTGTTTCTTTTCTATTCTTTTTCTTTTTATTCTTCCTTCCTTACAAATGAATACTCTTTCTGTATGATGAAGTGATGATGCGAAGGGCACTTTTATTTCGTGTTCCCATCACAGTTCAGGCAGCGTCTGGAATGGAGGGATATAAACAGCAAGAACAACAGAAGTTAAAGCCAAAGTATCATCAGGGAAGCTGCAGTAATGCGAATGTCTACACCCAAATCCAAACTAATCTCCAAGAGGACAGTGTGAAGCTCAGCAGCACAAAAGCCTTTTGGTCAGATGAAGCCAAGGAAGTAACACTGCATGATCTCAAACGAAGATATGCAAATGATCGATTTGTTGATAAAAAGACACGTTTTGTGGTTCGTCAACGAGTGCGGGAGGATGGTGTTACATCTAATCTATTTCCTCTACACATAAATCCCACACTGGAGCTCTTCTCTTATGAAATTGTGGCCACTCGCCGTATTTTTCACACAAAACCAACGAACAAGGAGAAAATGACAACGAACAAAACCAACAACAGCAGCAGCAGCAGCAGTAAATCAAAAAGTCGTCGAAAGAAAGATGTTGTTGTTGTTGAAGAAGCAGAAACAAATACAAACACAACAACAGCAACAACAGCTAATATTACTTCTATTGTGAGACGAGTGGATGAGAGACGGGCGTGGATTGTCGTTCAGCGATTTCTACGTCGTTGTGTCCCAGAAGCCCCTCCGCTTGTGAATGTACGCAATAAGGTTTATTCTACAGCCCCGCTACCTACAAAGGCGTTGGAACTTCCACCGGAGTATCTTGATATGGGATGGGAAGGGTGTAAAGTACGTTTTGTAGGTAAAGCCGCAATGTCTAAGATGTCTCCCAATGATGTACAGGAAGTAACGAATAAAATTGTTTCTTGGGCGTTAAGGCAAGAAACGCAAGAGGGAAAAAAGTTTTCTGTTGGACGTGAGTCAAATGGAAAAATTGTATGTACACATGATTGTATCAGTGTATCTGGACTTCGTATCTTTAAAGGGACTATTCTACGAGCCGTATTTGTAGATGTCAGTGGGGCCACAGAAGAAAGTACAACACCTGTGGTTCCTCTTATTTCTCATTCCCAAGTACCAACCACGGCTGTATTAACAACACTCACTGCGGGACATCACACTAATACACCACTACGATTTCTTGTTAAGGAGTTTATACGTGAATTTGAGTTTAAAGAGACACCTGTTCAAAGTTACAGAATTGAGGATGGTTCAGGTGTAACGATGGCATCTTTGTGGAATGTTACCAAGTCATCTACACTCAGTGTGGGTGTTGTGTATGAAGTTGTGGATTATCATGTGCGTGTGTTTGAAAGCCGTGGTGGGATGCGATTGGTGGAGATGAAGGTGGGAGAGACCACGTTTAAAGTTATCAAAGAAGAAGAAGAAGAAGAAGAAGAAAAAAAAAAAGAAAACGCAGCATGTGATGTGGAGCCGGTGAAAAAACGACGACGTAAACATGGCAAAGACACCACCGCAAAGGAGGAAGAGGAAGAGGAAGAGGAAGAAAAAGAAAAACGAAAAGGAAAAAAAAAGCAAACAGAAGAAGAAAATACATTAAAAATAATACCTGATATTCCTCAGGAAACTACTCTTTCCTCTCTTCCTGGTGAATTGGTACTGAAAATTGATACCAAGTGTACAGTCGCCGTGGAAGTTTCATTATGGGAAGAAGTCAAACAACACTTTGGCAGCGGCCCTTATGATAGTGCCACGGAAGAACGAATTGCCCGATCTGTTCAAGGCACGCCTGTTGTGATTGCGGCCACCCTGCGACACTCCACTATTCGTTTTGTTCGTTTTAACATCACCCCAACAGAGACAGATCTCGATCCGGCACTGCAGCGGTTTGTGCGGGAGTTGGATGCTGGTCAGCCCTACGCCGTGTTGGTGGACTACACCGTAGTGCCCCTGCAGGCCCTTCACTGCTGTTACGATCCCCGCATGAAGTCCTGGCAGGATATTGTCGTCACCGCCTGTTCATTCCTGCCGGCGCGGCGATTAGACATTTTGGAGTTATTTCGCACCGCCCTGCAGTCCGGACTGCAGCAGTGGGGCATCACACTCGCCGCGCAGCCGCTCAGCAGTAAATCACTCTCACTCCTACCAGCTCCACAGAGGGCAACGGCGAAGAGTTTTGGGCAGAGTGGTGAACGTCAACAACAACAACAGCGACAAGGAGGAAAGTTTAAGAAATCTATTTCCACATCCGCCGCATCTTCACCTTCAGCGATGCGTCATCCTCCACCAGCATCATTCCCAACAACTTTTGCCGTAGTGGCAATTGCCCCATCACACATGGATGAAGCCGAGTTAACACGCACTACACAGACCGCACACGCAATGGCACGGTACTTTCGCACAACAACGACTATTACTGTACCGGATGAAAAAGAGGCTGTACGGTTTCTCGTTCAACAATTAACCAATGCCACTGATGGAGTACTGAAAGATCCTAATACAGTTGTTATTATTATTTCAGGAGAACGTGAAACTCGTCCATCACGATGGGTTCTTGCAGAATGTTTAACACGTGGTATTCTCGCTGTCTTTATGCCTCCTGCTTCTTCACCAAAACGACAGAACTTATTATGTGAAAATGCCCGAGCACGATTACGTATGGTATTTGAAACAGATACTCTTCGTGGAATAAATGTCGCCCGCGAAGTTCCAGCCGTGGCCCAACGCCGTGTACTTATTGTTGGTATTGATGCCTGTCATACCACAACATTCAGTACAGGTGCGGTGGTTGGTATCTTATGCACATCTGAACGTAATCATCTTTTACCTTTATTCTGGAAACATGAATCCCGTGGACAGGAGGTGGATCAGGTGGAGGCGCACTTCCGGATATTATTGCAAAAGGCATCTGATCTTTACGGTGGTGTGGATGAAGTTGTAATCTTTCAAGATGGTGATGTGTACAGTGAGATGCCACGTATGCAAGCTCATATACCGCCAGGTTGTGGTTTCACCTTTATGTGTTTACACAAACGAACGAATGTACGTTTTGTACATCAAAGTAAAGAATCTGGTGGAGTGGGAAATGTTGTGAAGGGTGCCGTTGTGCAGGCCCTTACTCCAATTGCTCTTGACAACGATGAGGGTGTATTACCATCTTTCTTTTTACAGAATCATGATTGTAATATGTCTACAGCCCGAACAGTGCAGTATACGATTCACAGTGTAAGTCCAACACTGGATGTCTCTGATGTGCAGCAACTCTCATTTGTCCTCTCACACGTATTGGCTACGCAATCCACGAAACTACCAATGTCCACACGGTGTGCACATCGTCTGGCAAGTGTGGCGGAGCGGCTCTTGGATGCGGCACCACCACTACAGTACGATATGATTCCTGCCCCATTAAATGAACGGTTGTGGTTTTTCTAAGACCAAATTGTTGTTGTTGTTTTTTTTTTTTTTGTTTTTTTTTTATGTCATATTATTTTTTTTTTTTGTTTATTTCGTTATCAGAATTACTCTTTCTAAAATGGGGTGTTTTTATTGATTTGTTTTTTCTTGGGATTCTTACATGAGTTTCCGTCTGTGTTGTCTTCAGTACACACTCATGTTTTCCCTTTTTATTTTTTTTTTCTATTGTATACCTATATATATATATATATATATTTGGGGGGCAGTCATCCTCACAGTTACCCCCGGGTTTGCTGGGCATCCTGATCTTGTGATCTCTTCTTTTAGTATGGGACCGGGTTTATTTGTTTGTTTGTTTGATTGTTTTTTTTTTTTTTCTTTTTATTGGCTGAGAATAGGGCGTAAAGTAAAGACGGAACGTTATGGGTGATCTACAGAAATATCAATCAACTTGTGTTTATTTATTTACTATTATTGTTATTATTATTTACGTTCCTCTTTAGCATCATTGCCCCTTCGTTGTCACAATCAATCTATCATCCTATGATCTGCCACTAACACTGCGGTACTGTCATCGACCCACTTTACATTCTCACACTGCATTATTATTTTTATTTATATTTATATTCACTTTTTCACTCCTCTTTTTTTTTTTTTTTTCTTTTTGTTATTATTATTTTCTGTAAAGGTCCTACAAAGACAGTCATGTTGACGGCAGTAACGAGAAGGTTGCTGCTTCGGGCGACCACACAGCCACTGTTATTTGCAATCCGTCCTACACACATCACACGGGAGGAAACAAACCAAACAACAACAATAACAACAGAAACAACAAAAACATCTCCACGGCGTATACAAATCGCTGTAGTTGGTAGTGGCCCAAGTGGATGTTACGTGGCCCATCATCTCACAAAGAAACGTGATGATATTCATGTTGACATGTTTGAAAGACTACCAGTGCCGTTTGGTCTCTGTCGCTACGGTGTGGCCCCTGACCACCCGGAGGTAAAGAACGTTGAACAGCAATTCCTGAAGATGTTTAAGAGTGGTCGAGTAACATGGATTGGTAATGTAACGATTGGTAAGGAAATGTCAATAGAGTTATTGCTTGAAAATTACACTGCGGTAGTAATAGCGACTGGAGCTGATAATAGTCGTAAACTACACATTCCCGGTGAAGATCTCGCCGGTGTTATTACCGCTGCAGACTTTGTACGTTATTATAATACCTATCCATTTCCCTATGGCTCTCCACGCTTCTGTCCATTTGAGTTACCCACTGTAAAGGAGGCGGTGATTGTGGGAAACGGCAATGTGGCTTTGGACTGTGTGCGAGTACTTGCGGCCTCGTATAAATACTTCGCACCAACAGATATGAATTGTGCTGCCGTGCGGGAACTCATGGCAAATCGAATTCGTCGTATTAATGTTGTTGCCCGTAGAGGACAGGCGCATAGTGCTTTTACAATTGCAGAGTTCCGTGAGTTAACACGATATCAACCAGACACCGTACGGGTAGTAGTGGATCCATTTGATCTCCAAAAGGCATTACAAGTACCAGCTGAGAACCCACGTGCACGTAAGCGTCTTCTTGAATTATTGGCACGATTTACAGAAAATAATGGCAACAACAACAACAACAGCAATAGTAATAATAATAATAATAATAATAATAATAATAATAATAATAATAATAGTAAGAAGGAAGATGCACTCAATATAACGTCAACACCATCACGACATGAACGTGGACCATGTCTTGTTCATTTACGTTATAATATGCGACCGGTACGTTTTCTTCCTCATCCAGAACGCCCTCGTCACGTTGGGGCTGTAGTCTTTGAACGTACAGATGTGGAAAACCATGAAAATGAAAAAGATTCTAGAAGTATAACAGTTCCATGTGATGTGGCTCTCACATCTGTAGGGTATTCTTCCGATAGTATTCCTGGTGTTCCTTTTGATGAATCCCGTGGGGTCATCCCTCATCAGAATGGACGTGTGAAGGGACAACCTCGTATGTACTGTGCTGGTTGGGTAAAGAATGGTCCAAAGGGAGTTATACTACAATCCCTAATGGATGCGCAGGAAACAGTTACATCTATTCTTGATGACCTTGCTAATAAGGTTCTTCCCACAAACGAAAATAATGAATCTTCTTCTTCATCATCATCATCATCATCTCATCCAATCACTGATACAACAGATATCAACCCTTCTATTTCCACTACGGCAATTAACAGCAACAGCAACAACAACGAGGATAAGAGTAATAAGAGTGATGATAATAGTAGTGATGGAACCAATGGAAGGGAATTCTACGGTAAATATGGATTAATTGATTTCTTCGTGGAAAAGCGAATACAGCCGGTCTCTGTAGCGGGTCTTGAACGTATTCTGCACGTTGAAGCCGAGCGTGGAGTAGATCTTGGTAAACGTCTTGAGAAGATTGACAATGTACGATCCATGTTGGATATCGCTCTTGGTGGTGATGTTGGCAAAAAAGCCAATAATGCCATTCGAGGTATTTCGAATGAACGTCCGGATGCACTTTTGTATTTAAATGAACTATTAGATGATACTACTGATTTGGCGCCTTTCGCAAGACAATTGGCAAAAGAATTACCACCCGTCATGGCAGCCCAACACCCACCAGGCGGTTTGCATCCATCACAGTTGTAATTATTACCAATCTTTAGTCCTTATATCAATCAATCTATCTATCTATTTTCTTTTTTTTTTTTTAGTGTGTATGTTTTGTTTTTTTTTTTGTTTTTGTTTTTGTTTTTGCTGCTTATTCTTATCGGCGATCGAATTTAATATCCTCTGTTGTTGTTTTTCTGTTTGTGTGTTTTTCTTGTACGCCAAATGGTTTACTTAAATGCCTGTTTTTTGTGTACATGAATGTTTTTTTTTTTTTTTTTCTTTCTATTGCTTCTTCTTATTTTCCTCTTCCTCTTCACTGTACACAATACCCTATCCACACCACAAAAACAAAAGAGAAAAGAAAACTATTTTTTTTTTAGGAGCTTTTTCACTCTTCGGAGATTTAACTTTTTAAACTTTTTTCTTTTTTTGTTTGTCGTGATTAGTGCTGTTGAGATTCATTCTTTCTTAATCATATCAGCTAGACGCATCAAGGTAAATAAATATATATATATTTATATTTATATATATAGAGAGAGAGGACGATGTTAAACCGTGAATCTGTTGCTGGTGTGGCCTGCAGTTTCCTTGTTACGTACTACCGCGGCTTTGTGCGTGAGCAGGGAGCCGCGGCTGCCCTTGCTGATCTCTACGGCGAGAACGCCTATCTCACGTACGCGGAGTACAATGAGGAGACCCCCGCTGTGGCCCACGGCCGACACGAGATTCTCCAGCAGCTTGTGAAGATGGATGCGCAGCTTGGCCGCCGCAAGGTGGTGGTGAGCTTTGCCGACTACAGCCCGCTGCCCAACGGTGGTGTGCAGGTGGAGTGTCAAGGCATTCTCCATCTCTGCGGGCAGCGGCGGGCATTCTTTCAGGTGTTCGTGTTGGCCCCAACGGAGTTCCGGGCAAACACCTATCACATCGTGACGGACTACTTCCGTGTGATGATGATAGAGGTGGAGCAGATACCAGAGGACGGCATTGTGATGACCCCAGCGGACGTGGCCAAACATCTGCTGGAGGAACACGAGCGGTGTAAACGACGGGCGGAGTTGTTGGAACAACAGCGAGCGGAGGCGGAGGCGTTGCGGCTGCAGCAACAACAAGAGGCAGAAGCAGAAGCAGCAAGGCGTAAACTTCAACAACAACAACAACAACAACAAGAGGGCCGTCGTGAGCGAAGTGAGCGTCGCAATGGTGGAAGACATAGTACTAGTAATGACGATAATGCCAATCACAAACCGGCGAATTACGAGAACGGTAGCAACACTCGCTTTGTACGTGGAGAACGCCATAATGAACAGAATGGAGAAAGACGCCGGGAACGTCGGGAACAACGTCCGGATGGGAAACGTGGGGAAAACAACCAAGTGAACAATGTGAAGCCACAGGAGGAGAATGGAAACGTCTCTTCTAGTGTGTCCCCTAATTTAGCTGCATCAAAGCCCACACGTGCCCCTCGTCAGCGTGAGCCACGATCGAATGCTAATAATAATAATAATACCACTACTAATACTACTACTACCAAACAAGATGGAAACAGCAGCAACAACAACAATGTTAACCGACCACTCCCTCGCTCTTTGGCCGCTCAGGAGGCACGTGCTGGTAGAAAGGATGAAAACAACAACAGTAATACGAATACTAACAAGAACAAGAATATTGTGAACAAGAAGGAAGCGGCAGGAGCATCCACAGCAGCAGCAGCAGCCGCAGCAGCACCATCATCATCATCCGCTGCAGCGGCACCAGCACCAGCGAAAACAACAAAGCCCAATGCGACAAAGGCCGCAGAGACAACACCCAATAAGAACGCAGTTAACTCCCGCACTCCCGCTAAACGATCGGGCAGCACAGATCACGTTCGTGTCCTGCGAGTACCAACAGATGTGAAGTTGTCAGACATCAAAGAGACGGTGAAGACAATTCTCGGCGAGGATCCCCTTGACGCCTACTGGTTTGGACGCTCCAGTGGAGACTGCGTGCTGCAGTTAAAGTCAACCTCGGCAGTGCAGAAGCTCACAAGCCACACCATGACAGTGATGGATGTGACTCTGAAGGTGACAAGCTTTTATCCGTAGATAAAGAAATCAACACGCAAAACGAAAGAAAAAAAATTTTTTGAAAGGGCGCGAGAAAGAAGGAAAGAAAGAAAGTACAAACATTAAGGAACGGCAAAATTGAAAATGAAAAGGGGAACGGAAGAAGAAAAGAGAGAAAAAAAAAAAGAGGTTAGGGAATAAGAAAACAAATCTCTAGATGAATGCTTTCTTCCTCATGCTTTTTCTTTTGTTTTGTTCTTTTTTATTTTCATTATGTTTTTTTTACTTTTTGTTTCTCTTTCATTCTAAGAATTTTAGAATATTGTGAGAAAAGGATCTAAACCTCAACAATAACTTAATGATAAATGTTTTTTTTTTTGGCTGTGTTTGGTTTGATCTTCTTTCTCTCTCTCTTTTTCCCATTATTTCTCTATTTTTCTAGACATTAGTTTCCTGATAGGATCCTCAGAAAAGGTTTAGACTATAATTGTTATGTGCGCTTTTTTTTTTCTTTTTTTTTTTTTTATCAGTTTACATGATTTCTGTGGGGCCTTGGTAGTGTCACTGTGAGAAAATGAACCCAGAAGGGAAAGGGTTACTTTTTCATTATTATATGAATGCTGACACAACTATTTAATGCGATCCTCGCAATAGCATTAACAACACAGATCTCTGTCGGGGGGAAGAGTGTATAAGAGAAGCCGTGATTGGAGTCTTGCGTACGGGGTTTGGGATAAGAGAATTGCATATTTTTTATTTATTTTTTTCATTGCTCAGAATTCTTTGGGTAAATTGTCTGATCTTTCTTATTGTGGCTATGAACAATATATGGTTTTGTTGGTAGGGAGTACTTATCACGTGACCATGGATAAACTTCATGCTGATTTTTATGTAAGCATTCGAGGAATTCAAAATAGCATTGGGCCTTGCTATGGCCAAGCGAGAGAGAAAGAGAGAGAGAAAGAAAGAAAGAGAAAGAACGGGAGAGAAACTTCTTTTTTATCATTGGTGGTGTTATTATTTCAATTCTTCAAGTTAATACTCTTGAAGACTACAGAAAGAATATATACAGTAGCAATTATTCTGCGTATGACTAATATTTATGATGATATTCCATAGATCTTGGTAGATGGTGAGGGGAGATGTCGGGGGTTCCTTTGGGGAGGAGATAAAGGGGATTCAATATACGAGAATATTCTTATTCGTTATTATTTTCAATTAGATGCAAAGGTCTTGTATAATACTTATTATTATTATTATTATTATTATTATTATTATTATTTTCTGAGAGTTTGCGAAAAGAATGACCATGTTCTTACGTTAATAGGAATCATATTTTGTACTAGGATTGAATCTTGGGAATACGATTTATTCTTCTTCATCCCGAAAGTCTGCCAAACGTAAGTTTTCAGAAAAAAAAAAAAAGAAAGAAAAACTAATTTTATAGGCAAAGAGAAATGATAAATTCGACCAGTACAACTTATTCAGCAACAGAGTGGTTGATTTGCCAACAGGCATTCACCGCATTTGTGCGCCATAAAGGCCCCTCAACAATTTCACTTGAATGTCGTCCAAATGAGAAATCGTATTTACAATATCATATTGACGGTTTGCTCACACTAGAAAACGATGTACTTTTGGTGAAAATGGCCCCTAATAAAACCATGAAATGGGAGGAATTGCGTCCTTCTGTGATTAGTTTCGTTATGCCGTTGGATGAAGTCTTTCTAAATGCCTTTGAGGAAGCATGCAAACGCTTGAAACCCGAATGGGTGGCTTTTAAAAAGATAGAATCCCCATTCAACCAACAGAAGCCATGTGAAGAAGGAACGCAATCGGAAAATAAGCCCATCCAAGTACAAATAAACGCAACTGTGTCATTTGGGGAATGGATAAATCAAATAGCACAAATTCGCCAGGAAAACACGGAGGTCAAAACACAAATGAAAGAAATGCAGACGCAGTTGACAGAAACGCAGAAAAAATTGGGAGAAATGCAAGGAGAACTCACAGCAGCTCTACAGCAACTCTCTCAACAAAAAAACATTCAAATGACGGAATTATTAAAACAAATGGGGAATGAGCGTCTCAATACAAATGGAGGAGAAGAGAAATCTCGGACTAACCAAAATACCCTCAACAACAGTAATAATGTATCCCACTTAGCATGGCAAGGGGGGAAGGCACCAATGGCCTTTAAGGAAGGACCACAATTAGGATCGCAGGGAACACAGGAACTGAGGCTGCCAGTATGGACCGAGGTAATCAGGCCGGAGGAAAAGATCCGCTCCTTTGAAGGAATGATGGATTATTTAAAGGAGACATCACCCAGCCAATTGGTGATTGCATACCGAGAAATATTTCCCATGCCAGCCAATCCCGATCTAGCTTATAAAGATGCATGGGATAATTTTGTTCAGTGGACTCGCGCTATTCGCAGTGATGGAATGTCGGCATCAATGATTCAATTGGGCCGACTGATTTACAGGCAGCTGCGAATAATACAAACCGTTAAAGATTTCCCTGGAGTGAAGATGGAGGAGCTTCATGATGCTATTATTGCGTTTGAAAATCCAAATGATCCTTTCATACAGTACGTCGTGAAATGGCGGGAGAGAAATTCAACAGCATCATCAACAACAACAACAACATCCAACAAGGCACGCTGTTATAGATGTGGACGTATTGGGCATTATAGCTCTACCTGCTATGTTAAGATGTAGAAAGATCCCTACAAGCCAGAAGAGAGAAAAAGAAAAAAAAAATGACTTTCACCAACGGAAGTTGGAAATATTCACGACTAAAGAAGTCCAATTAATACCGTGATTTTCTTCATATCGATCACATAGAATACGAGATACTTGAGGTAGAACTAGCGATGGAGAAAGCGGGAGATGGGATTTTAAAAGGGGTTTCTCAGTACCTGCATTTTCATCAGTTCTGTTATTTATTTGGGGAAACTACCGTAGCGGGAAAACCATTTTTTTTTTTTTTATTTGAAAGCTTGCGATAAGAATGGTAAAGCCTTACTTTATGAGGCAACAATTTTGGATGAAGTCTTGGTAAATAAATACAATTTCTTTTATCTTTACAGTTCTGCCTAACCGTAAGTATCTGAAAAACCCACCCAACTCAACCCTACCCTCTCCGCATCAAGCGGGAGATGGGATTTTAAAAGGGGTTTCTCAGCATTTCCATTTTCGTTAGTTTTTGTTATGTATTAAAAAAAACATCGTTGGGAAAAGTTTTTTTGGTTGAGATATATTTTTAAAAATTATAGAACTTGTATGAACAAACATGGAAACAAAATATTTTCTCTTTCGTTTTCATTTTTTTTTTTTTTTTGTTTTTGTTTTCTTTAAAGGGGAAGTAAGGCTAACTGTATTCTCAGGTTCTATTCCTTGTGTGGATCTCACGGATTGTGTGTGTATTATTATTTCTTCACTACTCGCCGAAGAAGGCAGGGTTATTGTTTTCATGTGATTTTTTCGTTTTTCGCTCATTTCTGCTCTTCTTTTTTTTTTTGTTTTTTTTTTCTTTTTATTTATTGTAGGGTATTATTTTTTAACGTCTTGTCATTAAAAGCAAAGGGAAATAAAATAGATAATAAAAAAAAATAAGAAGGTATCGACGATTAGCAGTAGTAATATTGTTCGACTATTATTTACTACCCTACATTTCTTCAACAGTTTTAATTAGAGTGGAAAAAGAAGAATAAATATATAACAAAAATCCATCCATCCATCAATCCATCAATCAAGTGAAAGAAATAAATAAAGAAATAAACTCAATAAGTCTGTCTATCTCTCTCTCTCTCTCTGTGGATAAAAAAGAAAAAGAAAAAGAAATGAAACACATGAAAGGAGGTGAAGTCCCCGCCCCAGATGGAGATCCCAGCGTTCGTAAAGCCAATGCCAAGAAACTCGCGGCTGGATACACCAAGAAGAAACGATTCTTGGAATGCTGTTATCTCTCCTTGGCCACCTATCTCTGGTTTACGCAATTCCTTGTGATTGCCCGCTACTTTGTCCACAGCGGGGATGCGAAGATCACCCAATTGGCGTGGACTCCACTCATGATGGTCTGTGCAATGACGCTCGCGGACTTTATTGGCGGCATTGCCCACTGGGGACTCGACACGTGGGGAACTCCCGACACGCCCGTCTTTGGAAACTTCATTCGATCATTCCGCGAACACCACGTCGATCAGGCAGCCATGACGAAACACGACTTTATCGAGACAAATGCCGACACAACACTTCCACTCATTCCAGTGTTACTTCTACAACGGTATTTTCTTTACTATGGCGCTAGATCCTCCACCACTGCCGCCGCCGCACAAACTATTGGTGAAGGGCATTCTTCTTCATCATCTTCTTATGCCTATAATGTGAGTAATGAGAATGTCGGTATGCATGTGTTTCTCTTGACGTTAACACTTTGTATTGCCTTTACAAATGAAATTCATAAATGGTCTCATGAGGCGAAACCCAATCCAGTGGCGCGGGCGTTGATGGCACACAATGTTATTCTCACACCACTTGGACACCGTCGCCATCACCGTGATAATCATGATATCAGTTATTGTATTACAACGGGTTGGCTGAATGTGTTTCTCGATAAGGTGGAGTTCTGGAGAAAGGCAGAGACGGTGGTAACAGCACTCACAGGGGCTATTCCTCGCGCGAACGACCAACACCTGCTTGGGAAATAAAAGAGGAGGAGTTGAAAGTGCAAAAGAAGTAGAATATATGTGAGAGGATACCTCTTGTGTGTGTTTTTTTTTTTTTTTTTTTTTTTTTTTTTTTTTTTTTTTTTTTTTTTTTTTTTTTTTTTTTTTTTTTTTTTTAATGCGTGGTGGACTTCTTTTCACACATGTTGTCATCGTCGCTCTTTTCTTAACATTTTTTCTTCAGACGTACGCACAGCCAAGACGATACGAACTGAAGAGTAAAAAAGGGGGAAAACAGGAAAAAATGTGGTCGGGAGACGTAAAAAAAAAAAAAAAAAAAAA